TCCCAGCCGAGTTCAGACATTTTTTCTCGGGTCACTTTTGCGGTATGAGGCTTGACGTTATCCCGCAAGAATATCACTTTCTTCCGATTGATCAAAGAAGGCTGTTTCTGGATGAGTGCTGCTTGTACTCGTTGAAGCTGCTCACAATACAAGTTAGCAGTGATGGTGTGACCTCTTTCCAAAAATTCAAAATGGACAATTCCAGTTGCTGTCCACCAAACACACAACAAATCCTTGACTGGGTGCAAGGAAGCCTTGGGCGTGGGTGGTACCGAATCAGTAGGCGACAACCAATGATACGAACGCTTAGAATTCGAATACACGATCCATTTTTCGTCGCAGGTTAATAACCGATTAAGAAATGGTTCATTAGCGTTGCGTGAAATGTTTGCTGAACAAATGGTAAGACGACATAATCTGTTATCATTTTTCAGTTCATGTGGGACCCATTTGCTTAACTTCCATGTCTTTCCTAGCTGATGAAGATGCAAACGAATAGTTTCAGGACTCACTCTGAACATTTCTGCAAGTTCTTGGCACGTTGTCCTGGAATTTGCGTCCACAACCTGTCGAAGATCCCATCGATCAACAACATCCATGGCAATGTGCGATATACAGCAACCGCACGAACTTATTTGGTTACCTGATATAAATCGTTTAATTTAATGTTTGTTTCTTTTTGTACACTCGTGTGTACGTTGTATTCAATATGTAATTTTTGTTTAAATTTTGGAAAAATGTTTTGTTAAAATTGTTTTCTAGTTAAGTGGTAGAATAACTTGTAGCTAAGATTCGCCTGAAATAAAAGTTGTTCATTATTATTATTATTATATTTAGTAACCACATTCATACATACAGGAAATATACATGGCATTAATATTAGATACAGAGATACTTTTCCAATTCCACGCCACATCACATCCGTATTTCAGAATTCATATATTTACAATGCAATCAAATTATGTATTTGTTTAGATCGTGACTTAAAAAAAACTAATTCAATACCTAAATTCAAGAAAAAAGTGAAAGAAATTCTACTTGATCAGCAACGAAATCTGTTGTAACCCGTAAGTGTTAATTGACCTCATGTTTTATTTATGCATTGACATTGATTTGTCTTTATTTTGTCGTTATTGTATACAGCTATTAATTTTCAACTAATTTTCAATTTATATACATCTCATATTGCTAATGGGGGCCTCCTGTAATATTATTCTAAATAAAAAAGACGTCAATTATTATTATTATTATATAAAGGTGAGGTTCAAGGTCAAATCCAAGGTCACCGCTTCTTGTGAAAATTTACTAAAGACCCGACCTTACCAGTTATTTTCGTCACCATTTCTGCGAGATTTCTAGAGGTTTTCCTAACAGCACATATTTGACCTTTATTTAACCGACTTGACCTTCAGCGGTCATTTTGATCTTGAATTTTTATACATATTCGAATGTAAATTTTCCCGCTATTTCGATTACCAACATCAAAAAATGATTTCTTACCGATACTGTTCCTGCCGGTTTCAATAAAAAATGACCTCGTCAAAATTTACTCAAGATCCGACCTTGATAGTTATTTTCATCACTAATCCTATAAGATTCATAGTGGTTTTCCTAGCAGCACACATTTGACCTCCATTTGACCTTTAGTGGTCACCATGACCTTGGTATTCAATTCGTACTTGAACTTTTGCTCTTTCGATTGCCGGCATCAAAAATAGATATTTTTAATAAAAAATGAAGTTGTCCTTGAAATGACCATGAAGGTGAGGATCAAGGTCAAATCCAAGATCACCGTTCACTCCCTCGTTAAAATTTAACAAAGACCTGGCCTTGATAGTTGTTTTCATCACTCATCCTGTGAGAGTTATAGAGGTTTTACCTTTAGATGGCACCCTGACCTTGGGCTTCAATTCGTATTTGAACGTAAAATTTTCCGCTCTCTCGATTGCCGGCATCAAAAATAGTGATTTTTATTGAAACTTTGAAATACCTTGAAGGTGAAGGGCAAGGTCATATCCAAGGTCAGCGTTCACTTCCTTGTTAACATTTACCAAATACCTGACCTTGATAGTTATTTTCATCACTCATCCTGCGAGATTCAGAGAGGGGTTTCTAGCAGCACACATTTGATCTTTATTTGACCTTTAGTAGTCACCCTGACCTTGGACTGTAATTGTGTTTGAATATAAAATCTGCTGTTCTTTCGACTTCGGGCATCAAAGATAGGGGTTTCTATTTGAAAAAATAAAGTCAACCATGAATTAACATTGAAGGCGAAGGCCAAATTAAAAGTTGCCGATGAATTCCTTGTTGAAAGTTACTGAACACCTGACCTTGATTTTTTCCAAAAATACCTAATCCGAATAGAGAGCCGTTCCGGGACTTTTCTGTCGCGCTGTATGCCTACTTAAGCACAATATGCTCACTAGCCGAAGTGACAGCGAGTGTCAAAGGGCGGCCGTCAGACCCCTAGTTCGATCAGTAACCCCGACCAAAATCAAAATCATGGAATGTTACAACACGACCTCGGAGAGCACTCTGACCGAGGTGTTCAGGTGCTTCATTTGTATGGAAAAGCTGAGGGATGCACATTTGTGTCCGCATTGTTCAAAGCTGTGCTGTTACGTTTGCATCAGGCGCTGGCTTACCGAGCAGAGATCGCAATGTCCCCATTGCAGGTAACCGTGCCGCAACATTTAGGACATTAAGTACATAGAATTGAATAATCATTACAACAATTATTATACAAGAGGAAATATAGATTTCCTAGAACTAGCATATCAATATTTCTGAAGGGATTACTTAAGTTTAATAAACTAAATAATGGTATAAAGCGTACCTGTAATCTAAATATGATTAAAAGAAAATCAAAGGAACATTTCATGGACAAGAAAGACCGACTACCATTGCGCTGGTCATTACCCTGTGCTCAACTTTTATATCGTGCTGGTTTTTGGCATTGCGAACCGCCTCGTTATATTTGTTTCTGTACTCGACGTCGGCTTGTCTGTTCTCAGTGGAGTTTTGTAAGGAGGTTCTTTGTACCTTGATCTTCTGCTGGCGAGCAGTGTCACACGATTTGTTAAAGCAGCCGTTGGACGCTGGTTTAGGCACTTCCACTGTATGAGGGATGTATTCATCCATCCCGACGCATCCGCGTCAGAAAAACAAACATCTCTCCAAGGACAGGTAGAGAAGAAGTCTCTGAGCCCCTCCCAGTCGGCATGTCCATGAAGTTCGCCAAAATAAAATAATTTACAAGAATTGTAGAGGTTGGATATACAAAATTTCATATCATTTTTCATTCTTATTTTCATATTTAAAATAAAAATTCATTTTTTCGGCAACATTTAGGATATTATATAGACAATACATGAATAATCATTACTACAATTATATACAGGAGGAAATATAGATTTCCATTTACAAAATTGCAATATTAATATATCTAGCAAATCGTTTTTTCAGAAGGGATTCCTTAAATTTAATAAACTAAATAATGGTATAAAGGCTACTTGTAATCTAAAGATGAATAAAAGAAAATTAAATGAACATTTCTCGACAAGTGTAAATTCTTAGAGATAGCAAATTTTGTTTTTTTTTAATATTTGTATGTTATGTAACTGTAGCAGTCTTTGAAATAATGTAATTGTAGCTCATGACAGAAGTGTTAAACCCAGAAAAAATAATGTCTTGAACTTGTTTTTTTGGCAACATAATGACTATATTTAAAGCATGCTGTGGCAACAATGTCAACGTTGTATCTTTGTTTTTGTTTACCTTTGTTAAAATCTTATCTCTCAGTTTTTGTGAAGCAGTTTCTGCGACCTGAGTAGTATAGATATTTTTAGTTATTGCCCTTTCATTTACTAGTGTTAAGCATAACAAAATGTCTCGAGTTCGAAAACGTCCAAATTATCACCATGTTAGCGACTTTAATAGTGGTAGAATTATTGCCCATTGAGATGTTGGTTTGTCCTATCGCGAAATTGGCCGCCATGTTAATTGTACTGTAATGACGGTAATGCGTGTGTGGATAGAAGAAGGTAGAGGAACACGAAGAAGGCCAACTGGTCCACCGAGGCGTACCACATCGTCAAGATAGGCGCCTCAGACAACTAGCCATACGAGACCGTTTTGCTACTATGCGTCAGATCGCTGACCAATGGTTTGTAGAAGAAGGTAGACTTGTTAATATGCGTACACTCTATCACCGCATTCGAGCCTTTGGACTTTTTCAAACCATCCACGGTTAGTGCTTCCTCTGACTGCGGACCACTGTCGTCAAATTTTGAACTCTAGCAGAGAACGGCAACATCGGGAAGCAGAATGGCATAATGTCATCTTCAGCGGCGAATCGCGATTCTGTCTAGGTATGCACGATGGTCGTAGAAGGGTACGACGCCGCCATGGAGAACGGCATGATATTGGATTTGCTGTTGATCACCCTTTCTCTTTATTCAAGCCAATATCACTGATGCGCGTTTTGTTGATAATGTCCTACAAGCCACTTTACTGCCGTATCTAGAGAGCCGTCCACACGTCCTTTTTCAGCAAGACAACGCACGGACTTTCTTTAAGAAGCAGGTGTTAATGTTTTGCTGTGGCCCCTCCGTTCATCGGATTTAAGTCCCATCGAATATGTGTGGGATATGATGGGGAGGAGACTATCCACTTTGCACCATCCGCCACAGACTCTGCCACAGCTAATCCACGAAGTTCGAGTTGCTTGGAATGAGATGCCACAACCAGACCTCGATCATCATTCTCTCTATGCCTAGACGTATACAGGAGTGTATTCAGCTACGGGGTCGCGCAACACATTAATTTTTTTCTTATTGTCAATAAAATTTCTTGAGAATGTTATCGTTTCATTCTTGATGTACTATAACACTACCTTATTGCCAAAAAGTCAAGTTGCAGAAATTATTTTTCTGAGTCTAACACTTCTAATGTCACCGAGTGTATCTAAATCTTAAACACAGAAAAAACTGTTTTAGGGCCTCCCTTCATTTGCACGAGCTAGTAAACTGTCGCTGGGTAGAAGAGGTGACCCAACAGTTAGATACACTCCAATCCGCCCTGCCTACGGCGCTTGCAGGTCTGGGCAGCGCGAAACCAGACAGCGACAGAGACAAGTGCCTTTCTCATCTGGAGAAGCTATCCGTCTACTGCTGGACCTGCAGGTGCTGCATATGCCACCAATGCGCCCTATGGGGAGGTACCCACTCTGGACATCTGTTTAAACCATTGGACGAGATTTACGAACAGCACGTAACACAGATCAAGGTGAGTTCTATTGATCTACATTTATGCACCGTGCGGAGCAGAGCAAGTGTGCGAAATCTGATATACAGAGTTTGTCCGGAAAGTAATAGGACTGAGTCGATTTAAAAAAATTTATTGAGCCAATCGTTACAATTCTTTAAAAACTTTCAAAATAGGCTCCTTCTGCGTCGATGCAGCGCAGCCAGCGCGATTTCCAAGCATTGAAGGCGTCACGGAAGGCATTCTCCGGAATAGCTTTGAGAGCCGCGGGGCATGCTGCTTGGATCCCCTCTGTCGTCTCAAAATGCTTGCCTTTCATCGGCCTTTTAAGGCGAGGAAACAAAAAAAGTCCGGGGGGGGGCACATCTGGGCTGTAGGGCGGCTGCGGAAGCGTTGGGATGCCGGCCTTGGTCAGGTAGCTGTTCACAAGAAAGGCGGTGTGAGCCGGGGCGTTGTCGTGGTGCAACTTCCAGTCGGCTGCGATGTCTTGTCGGACCCGACTGACCCTTCGTTTGAGTCTCCTGAGCGCTTCCACCAAAAAATGGGCGTTGACGGTTTGTCCAGGAGGAACAAATTCATGGTGGACGATGCCTTTGACGTCAAAAAAGACAAAGAGCATCGTTTTCACTTTGGATTTGCATTCTTCCCTTTTTTGCGCGAGGAGACGCCGTCGTGTGCCACTCGGAAGATTGCCTCTTTTTCTCGGGATCATACTCAAAGATCCACGACTCGTCACCTGTGATTACGTTATTCAAAAATTGGGGGTCACTTTCACACATGTTCAAATTTTCTTGGCACACTTCCACTCGCCGCAATTTCTGGTCGTCAGTGAGCACTTTTGGGACCAACTTCGCGCACACCTTGCGCATGTTCAAATGCTGTGTCACAATATCATGAACCACAGATTTTGGTAAATTTAACATCTGGGCAATTAAACGAATACTTAGTCGACAATCTGAGTTCAAAACTTTGCGCACACGATTCACATTATCGGTGTTTGTCGAAGTCGAAGGTCTTCTAGCACGGTCTTCATCAGCGACCTCTTCCCGGCCCTCCAAAAAGGCCTGGTGCCACCGAAACACACCACTTCTTGCTAAAGCAACACCTGGGTAAGCCTGCTTGATCATATCAAACGTCTCTGTCGCAGATTTACCGAGTTTCACACAGAATTTAATCGCGTACCTCTGCTCTAACCAACGCTGCATTTTCGGCTTGCACCACTCACAGAAACACGTCGCGCGAAAATGCCTGTCCTGACTCTCCAAGTGCTCGGAGACAACTGACCAGCCGCTCATTCGTTAGCTATGAACGCCCTCTACCGAATCCAAGTACAGTCATGGCGGAAGAAAATGAGTCCTATTACTTTCCGGACACACCCTGTAGTCTGATCATACAAAATGTTAGACGAAAATACCCCTGGTTTGCGAAATAATTGTAAAGTTTGGTTTTATTGATGCAACTTGTTCAAGGGGGTATCTAAAACATAGACGCATAAAATGGGTACACTAATTTTTGTAGGAAAACTTTTTATTCGACAACAAAGACTGAGAAAACGTGAAAACAGGTTTTTTGAGATTCACTCAAAAGTGTTGGAAGGAACGAAACACTCTTCAAATAAGGTTTTAAGGTATTTACGAGACGTACAAAATGAGACCACACCCGAAAAGATCCTGCTAATACCAAAAAAGTTATGGCCGAAAACCTAGGCGAAATGCAGGTTTTGGCACTTGGTAATGCGACGATAATTTCACGCAGATACTTGAAATTATTCGTATCCGTAGGCTTCATACTTCTACAGTCAAAATCACGAAAGATGACTATTACGTCATAGCATAAATTGTACTGAAGTAATCAATGGACGTACGTCGATGATAAAATCACGATGTCAGGGACATAATGACAACAAATTTATATTATGATTTTGCGAAGTTAGATTATTTTTATTTTACTTTTATTTCATGGTTATAAGTGATACCTCAATAATAATTTTAGTGGGGAGTTTTTGTTTTGAAAAAAAACAGTTATGTATAGTATAGAAATACCTTAAGACAGGAACCAAAGACCAAAGTATTATTCGAAAACAACCTAACCGGCTTTAACATAACCTAACTATTCATCTTTCAAATATGATCGATCTTGCAACATGAAAACATCGTCTATCTTTATCGGATACATGCAAATTAGCAATACAGCTTGATTAGACAATAAAATTCTGTTTGTCTCTGTCTAACATATCTGAAACTTCATTAAAAATATTCACAAATCGCTGTCGTTTGTCTTTACTATAGACGAAAATGATGACGTAATCGTCATCTTTCGTGATTTCGACTTTAAGTAACCACAACAAAATTTGAGTAGGTTGGTCAAGTAGTTTTTGAGAATTTCTAATTGGGCATTTTATAACAAAATACACGAGTTTACTTTGCCGATATGAATCACAAACCATTCCGAAAGATAAATGCTATTTTTGTGCGAAAAACAAAGGGATTTGTTTTTTTCTTCTAAACAAATTCAAACATGTCGAATGACATTCTCCACAGGATGAAGTCGCGCAGTTAAGGAGACGTCTCATGGAATTGATAAGTATTGTTCAAGAAGTTGAAAGGAACGTTGAAACAGTAAGGTAAGTCTATCAGTATTTCTTTGGTCGCGTTCTGAGCCTCAGGGTGATTGTACGAATACGAAGTAAATTCAACGGTTGCGGCAAAAAAGGTCTGACTAAAACAGCCAAGAGAAAAACCTGGAAAATCTTTTCAAGTTTTTGAAACTGCCCCTAGGGGCGTAACTGCAATCTTGAATCTAAAAAAGTGATGTTTCTGTGAATTCCGCTATATTAACTTAACAAAAAAATACCTGATATTTATAGCCGAGGACAATGTGCTGTATCTCTGAAAATAAAGTTAATTTTTAGTTGAAACTAGCTATTGTTGGGCTTGTTAGTTTCACATGTGGTCGCTAGAGGACGTTTTTCGACATTCCGACAGAAATGCTTGAGTTTCTCAAAAAAATTAAATGCATTGGTATGATTTTTTTTATGAAAAAGTAGCTAAATGATGTCCAAACAAGCTCGCGAAAATCGCATCTCGATATCTTGTTCGTAACCTAAAATCCAAGTGCAAAAACAAGTTTTGCCGTGTTTTCAGTGGCACATCTTCCAAAATCAACGGTAATTAATTGTCAAGTTATTTGAGTTTATAATAAACACCGCCGAGATCTTCGGACCTAAGTCCATTAGATTAATTTCTTTGGGGCATTTGATGAGTAAAATTTTTAGAACGAAGCCAATTTCCATTCAAGATCTTCGTCAGCGGATTACGGGTGAATATATAGTCAACGCCAAACAAAGTGGCGTGCACGTCATCACGATAAAAATTCCCCGACCTAATGCCTAGGTTTCTATCACAAACAATTGCTCTATTGCAGTTTCATATTAATGTGATATATAAATTGTAAAATGGTCATTACTCTCTTATTATGGTTAATAGTCATATAAACATTGTTATTAAAATATCACATAAGTTGCTTTCTGATAAATTTAGACGCATTATGCGAAATAAAATGTTTTGCAAACGCTCCAATCACTTATCGACATGTAAACGCACTAAACCGATTTCGCAGCGTTGACACATTGTCACCTTGAAACTTATTTAAACTGGGAACTGACATTTGTATTAATTTTGACACTGAATCAATTTGTGGCATTTCAAATCTTTATAAATCCTTTGGCCCCGCATACTGTAAATCAACAACTGTTTGTTTCAAAACGAAATTATTCATTTTACGAGTAGATAAAGGCAATTTTGGTATATAAAGATGCCCAAACAGTTAAATAGTCGGTGTAAGGAACTCGTGGCCTCGTTAATGCATTACTTTGAGCAAGAAAGGGACAACAACGGGCCTTTGTTGCCTTTAAATGCTGTTCAAGAGGTAGGTTACTAATAATTATATGTAATGTATATTAATAATAGTGAAATTTTATTTCATTTTTTGTAGCGTGTTGCTGCTGCTTTAAAAATTAGTTTAAGGACAGTTAGTCGTATTTCCGAGGGTGTGAAAAGTGATGCAAATTTAGAATCGCCCAAGAAAAAGCGGAGTTATATTAAACGCGTAACCAACCCAGCGACATTGGATACAAGTGCCATTCGAGAAGTGATCTATAATATGTATCACAAAAGTAAGATCTTATTATAATAACTTATCAGAAATTTGCATTAAATTGTTAACTAAATTATAATGTCATATTACACATGGTTTCAGAAGAACAAGTTACGATACAAACTTTATGGTCTCGATTAAGAGATAGGGCATTATTTGATGGTAGTGCCACGTCTTTAAGGCGGTTGCTTAGAGATCTTGGATTTAAGTGGCTTAAGGACAATCCGCGACGAGGGCTCATGGAACTACCAAGTATAGCTTTGAAAATGGTGGAATTTCTAAGGCAATACAATCAAGCCAAGGTTGAGGCCTTATACCAGTTTGTCTTCCTCGATGAAACTTGGATATTTCAAAATGGGACCATAGGTGGCTCTTGGCAAAATGGAAACCAAAAAAGCGTGAAAGCTATTAAAACAGATGGTAAAAGGTATGTACTTTTACACAATTTGCACTATAAAATTTAAAACTAATATATTTTAGATACATTATATTACATGCTGGAAATGAAAATGGGTTTATTGAGGGTAGTGAAGCGATATTTTCTTCGAAAACAAAATTGAGCGATTACCATGGAGAGATGAACCAGGACAATTTTTTGAAATGGTTTCAACATCAGTTATTAGAAAAATTATAGAGTCCATCTATGATTATACTGGATAATGCCCCTTATCACAGCATGATATTGAACAAAGTGCCCAACAATGCATGGACAAAAAAAATATCCAAGACTGGTTGACAAATCAAAACATACCATTTTTAAACACAATGTTTAAAACAGAGCTATTGAGTATTGTTGCTCGGTACATAATGCTTCTTAATTATATATATTTTGGTCGACAGTTTATATTTCTTTTGTTTATTCCTATTCTTAAAATAACTGCTTTTTTAGAAACAAACCACCTAAAATATACGTGATTGATGAATTGGCGGAACAACATGGGCACAAAGTTCTTCGTCTGCCTCCTTACTATTGTATATTTAACCCTATTGAGTTAATTTGGGGCATAGCAAAAGGTTACTATAACAGACATATTGGTAGAGATGGTAACAGTGAAAAAGACTGTTTGGATATGTGGAACGAGGCTCTACAAACGGTTACCCCAGACATGTGGAAAAATAGTGTTCGACATACTGAGCAAGAAATTTTTAAATGGTATGAAAGAGAACGAATTTTTGATCGACCAGAGATCGAACCTTTAATAATCAACTTTGAGAGTGATGAAGATTCAGATTCAGACAGCGCTGAAGAAAGAAACTCCGACTAACTTTATTGTACAGAAAAAGCTTACACCAGTAGCTTACCTAATTTTAGAATGCATTTTTCTGTATGAATTCTGTAAAATAAATACCATGCATTAAATTTGGAGGACCCAATTTGGATTTTTATTAAGTACCTTTAAGCTATCAATTAAATATGGTAGTTTCATAGTGTCATCTGATCAATAATTGTCATACTTAATGATTATGCAAGTACAGATCTATAATTTTATTATACTATTATTTTTGTTCTCATTTGAGGTTAATATTGCTTATAAACCTAGATATGTAAATAATAAATTTTAATATTTTACAAAAAGTTTGGCAACAATGTAAATTTTTCAACACACCCACCTTGATGACGTGCACGCCACTTTGTTTGGCGTTGACTATAGACAAATAACTCAAGGCATTCTTGAGAATGTGAGGAACTTTAATGTGCATGTAAACTGCTAGTTGTTTTTTGTTTTTTTAATACTCGGAGTCTTGTTTTGAATTTTAAAGTAAAGTCTTGTTACTATGGGAACTATATTGAGTATTGTTTTTTCGATATATGTAATGCCTTATTATCACAATATCTAGAATTTTATTATAAACTCAAATAGCTGCACAACGACTGAAGATAGATATAAACTTTATTATACAAAGGTTATTAAAATCTTCATGGAGAATCTAAAAATTAAAAAAGAGGGTTTCAATTAAAAAATCTAAAGTGTAACGCAATATTTCATTTTTGGATCACCCTATATTGTTAGTCTATAGATACAAAGATGTTACACAACAAAAAGAAAAGGGTGCTAGTCCATGAATGGGCGCTTGGGGCCTAATATCCCAGACTCCAGAAAACGACGAAACGACCCCTGCACCACGACCTCAACGGAAACAGAAAAACGAATCATGCAGATTACGTAACGTTCTAGAAGAAAGAATCTTGAGTGGCCTTGAAGAAGTTATGTTTTATAGGAAACCACCTAACGGAGCAAAACTACAGAGTTTTTTGCTGATCGTCAACACCATACTGAATCGCAGAGAAAGAAAGATATAATACGAGTGAAATTAAACAATCAATAAACTATTAAATTTGCAAAAAGAAAATCATTGAAAAGGGTTTGGCCTAGGAATGGGCACTCTATTATCAATGAACAGAAATTCACGTTACGGATAAGTGATAAATAGTAAAAAAAAGGTTACGTGATTTTGGCACGTGACACTATACAGGGTGTCCGCAAAGTTGGGGTTTTCCTTTTCAGAAACAACTACCCTTGCAATAACAAAGGTAATGTGTCGTGAAACGAGGGCGACCAAGTAAAAAAAAATAAAGGAGAAAGTACTCACTCTCCAGTTGACGAGAAGGGCTAAGTACGTCTCTGCCCGAAATCATACCGCTCCAACAGAAAAATGAAATCAGCCGATGCGCTACCGAGCAGACGCCGGCGGTGGTGCAGACCAAACAAATGAGACGGCGTTGGCGCGTTTTCAGTTTTTAGGTAAACGTACTTTATAGGTATTGTTCGAAGTTATCGCCGTTTGATTCAAAAACACAGATGCGTGCACGACGTAGTCAAGCACCAGCTTGTTCAATTCTGAGACGAAGTTCGTCAACCGTATGCACTTCAGTTTTGTACACTAAGCGTTTCATTTCTCCACAAAGAAAAAAATCACATGGTGTTAAGCCTGGAGATCGCGGAGGCCACGCTACGGGTCCATTACGTCCGATCCACCTATTCGGAAATAATTCATTCAAAAACTCACGCACTTCGCGTCTAAAATGGGGCGGTGCACCATCGTGCAGAAACCACATTGATTGTCTTACACTTAATGGCACATCTTCTAACAAGGAAGGCAAACTGTTGCGTAAAAAGTCTAGGTATTGCATCCCGTCCAATCGATTTGGGAGAATAAATGGTCCAATGAGCATACCGTTCACCATGCCAGCCCAAACATTCACCGAAAATGTTTGTTGAAAATGTGCCCGACGGACAGCGTGCGGATCTTCTACTGACCAAACATGAGTGTTGCGAAAGTTATTCACCCCATTACGCGTGAACGTAGATTCGTCTGTCCCCAATATGCACTTCAAAAGGTCCGGACTATTGTCATGTTGATGCAACAACCACTCGCAAAACCGCACTCTTGCTGGTAAATCGTCAGGTTGAAGGGCTTGTACACGTTGGACGTGAAACGGATACAGCCCCTCTTCACGCAGCGTTTGCCACACTTTAGTTTTTGATACTTGCACTTCTCTAGCCACGTCTCTAGTGCTTGTCGAGGGATTCTCGTCTACGCGATTCAGTAGTTCTTCCTCAACTTGCACCATTCGTGGTTGTCTAGGCCTCCCACTGTGCCCACCTCGAAATTCCTCCAAATGGCCCGTATCCCTGACTCTCTGGACCAGGTACACAAATCTGCGGGGCCTTGGATGATGTCGTCTAGGGAAACGAGCTGCATACACTCGCGACGCCTCTGTAGCATTTTGAAGACATTCGCCATAAATTAACAACATATCAACGAGTTCATTATTGGTGTATGAGTGTGCCATTATTTTTTTTTAAAGCAATCGATTATACGGGTACGTTACCTCTACACGCGTGACCGTTACCCTCGGTTGAAGGTTGCAAACTGACCTGACACACTGACCCCGACCCAGTTCTGTCGTCGGCTTGAGCTAGTGTCGTAGTACCACGCGGGGATGTCGCGGCTTCAGGACGGTATTCAGATATTGTTGATGTTGCAGAGCCCTTTATCTCGGTTCCCTTAAGACATTGGTGTATATGGTACTAAGAAAAATTGCTTATGTTTTCAAGATCTACACGTCGTGTAAAGGAAAACCCCAACTTTGCGGACACCCTGTATATACTAATTGCTTAGTACTCAGTATTCGTACAATCACCCACTAAAAATTTGGAGTCGTCGGACATCTTATTTTATCAGACGAGCCAACTCTCACACTGCTTTAATACAATACTTGAAAAGTGCAATGAAAACTCTTATGTAAGATTATTATAAACCACTACACAACGACATTTAAGTATATTAATTCAATGTAAAGACTTTCTAGTAACTGTTTCTAGATCAGCCAAAGAAGAGCGAGTCAGAGAAATAAGGTCAGTGGTTGAATCGATGATATCAAGGTTGGACTCGCAGTTGAAGACCAAGCTGTTAACATTGATGGGACAGAAGGATTCATTAACACAAGTATGTTCCACAAACTTCAAGTTTTTTTCAGAAACTACTAGCGATGAATTAAAAATATTCACTATCTGCCGTTATCCACAGTGTATCCCATATCAATGGAAACACGCTATAGTTGTTCCGCTACCTAAGTGTTCTGATCCTACTAACTATAGTATTGCTTAGTGGTTTACTAGCCCTATTCAGATATTAGAAGAAGAATTCAAAGTATTATGAATGCATGTTGCAGTCTTCTAAATGATCTCAGAAAATACGTACATATAGTCAACGCCAAACAAAGTGGCGTGCACGTCATCACGATAAAAATTCCCCGATCTAATGCCTAGGTTTCTATCACAAACAATTGCTCTATTGCAGTTTCATATTAATGTGATATATAAATTGTAAAATGGTCATTACTCTCTTATTATGGTTAATAGTCATATAAACATTGTTATTAAAATATCACATAAGTTGCTTTCTGATAAATTTAGACGCATTATGCGAAATAAAATGTTTTGCAAACGCTCCAATCACTTATCGACATGTAAACGCACTAAACCGATTTCGCAGCGTTGACGCATTGTCACCTTGAAACTTATTTAAACTGGGAACTGACATTTGTATTAATTTTGACACTGAATCAATTTGTGGCATTTCAAATCTTTATAAATCCTTTGGCCCCGCATACTGTAAATCAACAACTGTTTGTTTCAAAACAAAATTATTCATTTTACGAGTAGATAAAGGCAATTTTGGTATATAAAGATGCCCAAACAGTTAAATAGTCGGTGTAAGGAACTCGTGGCCTCGTTAATGCACTACTTTAAGCAAGAAAGGGACAACAACGGGCCTTTGTTGCCTTTAAATGCTGTTCAAGAGGTAGGTTACTAATAATTATATGTAATGTATATTAATAATAGTGAAATTTTATTTCATTTTTTGTAGCGTGTTGCTGCTGCTTTAAAATTAGTTTAAGGACAGTTAGTCGTATTTCCGAGGGTGTGAAAAGTGATGCAAATTTAGAATCGCCCAAGAAAAAGCGGAGTTATATTAAACGTGTAACCAACACAGCGACATTGGATACAAGTGCCATTCGAGAAGTGATCTATAATATGTATCACAAAAGTAAGATCTTATTATAATAACTTATCAGAAATTTGCATTAATTTGTTAACTAAATTATAATGTCATATTACACATGGTTTCAGAAGAACAAGTTACGATACAAACTTTATGGTCTCGATTAAGGAATAGGGCATTATTTGATGGTAGTGCCACGTCTTTAAGGCGGTTTCTTAGAGATCTTGGATTTAAGTGGCTTGAGGACAATCCGCGACGAGGGCTCATGGAACTACCAAGTATAGCTTTGAAAAGGGTGGAATTTCTAAGGCAATACAATCAAGCCAAGGTTGAGGCCTTATACCAGTTTGTCTTCCTCGATGAAACTTGGATATTTCAAAATGGGACCATAGGTCGCTCTTGGCAAAATGGAAACCAAAAAAGCGTGAAAGCTATTAAAACAGATGGTAAAAGGTATGTACTTTTACACAATTTGCACTATAAAATTTAAAACTAATATATTTTAGATGCATTATATTACATGCTGGAAATGAAAATGGGTTTATTGAGGGTAGTGAAGCGATATTTTCTTCGAAAACAAAATTGAGCGATTACCATGGAGAGATGAACCAGGACAATTTTTTTAAATGGTTTCAACATCAGTTATTAGAAAAACTGGAGAGTCCATCTATGATTATACTGGATAACGCCCCTTATCACAGCATGATATTGAACAAAGTGCCCAACAATGCATGGACAAAAAAAATATCCAAGACTGGTTGACAAATCAAAACATACCATTTTTAAACACAATGTTTAAAACAGAGCTATTGAGTATTGTTGCTCGGTACATAATGCTTCTTAATTATATATATTTTGGTCGACAGTTTATATTTCTTTTGTTTATTCCTATTCTTAAAATAACTGCTTTTTTAGAAACAAACCACCTAAAATATACGTGATTGATGAATTGGCGGAACAACATGGGCACAAAGTTCTTCGTCTGCCTCCTTACCATTGTATATTTAACCCTATTGAGTTAATTTGGGGCATAGCAAAAGGTTACTATAACAGACATATTGGTAGAGATGGTAACAGTGAAAAAGACTGTTTCGATATGTGGAACGAGGCTCTACAAACGGTTACCCCAGACATGTGGAAAAATAGTGTTCGACATACTGAGCAAGAAATTTTTAAATGGTATGAAAGAGAACGAATTTTTGATCGACCAGACATCGAACCTTTAATAATCAACTTTGAGAGTGATGAAGATTCAGATTCAGACAGCGCTGAAGAAAGAAACTCCGACTAACTTTATTGTACAGAAAAAGCTTACACCAGTAGCTTACCTAATTTTAGAATGCATTTTTCTGTATGAATTCTGTAAAATAAATACCATGCATAAAATTTGGAGGACCCCATTTGGATTTTTATTCAGTACCTTTAAGCTATCAATTAAATATGGTAGTTTCATAGTGTCATCTGATCAATAATTGTCATACTTAATGATTATGCAAGTACAGATCTATAATTTTATTATACTATTATTTTTGTTCTCATTTGAGGTTAATATTGCTTATAAACCTAGATATGTAAATAATAAATTTTATTATTTTACAAAAAGTTTGGCAATAATGTAAATTTTTCAACACACCCACCTTGATGACGTGCACGCCACTTTGTTTGGCGTTGACTATATATCGAAGACCGTTAATGACATCAAATGGATGACAAAAATTTGTTCATGTCTTGCTTAGTTTTCGAGAAAAAAGTCCACTTAATTGCATATCTCTGGACCACACAAGGAATATGGGGAAATTTTTCTTTTGGAAATTATTTCTTTTATAATTTTTTATTACTAATTATGTAACAACAACAAATACTAAGTAACATTAACATCTAGACTAACAAATTTCACTAAAATGAGTATTGGAAATGGCCCCTTGGCTTCAATACAACCGACTAGCTGCCTTATCATTGAATTACACACTTTCATTTCTTGAAAACTAAGCAAGATACGAAAAAATCAAGAGACAAAAAAGTGGTATTTATATTTGCTTAATCCAAAGAACATAGCAAAAATTGAAAAAAGTCGGTGGTGTATAATTTTGTTACACATATCCGTTCAGGTCCCGCTCGAGACGCCATTGGACTTTTAATCGAGTTAGGGCTAAATTAATGTCATAAATACCACCGCCAAATTACAACAAAATTAAGTAAAAGATATACTCAGTGACATTAGAAGAGTTACACCCAGAAAAAAATGTATTCAACTAGTTTTTTTTTGCAACATAATGACTATGTTTAAAGCAGGCGTGGTAACAATATCAACGTTTAATCTTTGTTTTTGTTTACCTTTGTTAAAATGTTATCTCTTGGTTTTTGCGAAGAAAGCAATTTCTGAGAGCTGAAAGTACATATATTTTTAGTTATTGCCATTTCATTTACTAGTGCCAAGGTTAACAAAATGCTTCGAGTTCGAAGACGTCCAAATTATCACCATGTTAGCGACTTTGACAGGGGTAGAACCATTGCTTAACGAGATGTTGGTTTGTCCTATCGCGAAATTGGCCGCCGTGCTAATTGTACTGCAATGACGGTAATGCGTGTGTGTCGTGTGTGGGTAGAAAAAGGTCGAGTAACACGAAGAAGGCCAACTGGTCCACCGAGGCGTACCACAGTGCGTCAAGATAGGCGCTTTAGACAACTAGCCCTACGAGACGGATTCGCTACTACGCGTCAGATCGCTGACCAATGGTTTGGAGAAGAAGGTAGACCTGTTATTATGCTTACACTCTTTCGCCGCATTCGAGTCTTTGGACTTTTTCATACCGTCCATGATTAGTGCTTCCTCTGACTGCGGACCACCGTAGTCAACGTTTGAACTGAGCAGAGAACGGCAACATTGGGAGGCAGAAATGGCATAATGTCATCTTCAGCGACGAATCGTGGTTTTGTCTGGGTACGCACGATGGTTATAGAAGGGTAAGACGTCGCCGTGGAGAACGGCGTGATATTGGCTGTTGATCACCCATTCTCTGTTGAGAGGCATCTACACAGGCTGTTGGAGTAATGGTTTGGGGGCCAACTGCCTATGGTCGCCGATCACCCTTTCTCTTTGTTCAAGGCAATATGATTGCTGCGCGTTATGTTGATGACTTCATACAAACCACTTTACTGCCATATTTAGAGGGCCGTCCACACGTCCTTTTTCAGTAGGACAAGGCACGTCCCCATATTGGTCGTCGTACTACAAGAAGCAGACGTTAATGTTTTGCTGTAGCCAACTCGTTCACTGGAGATTTAAATCCCATCGAACTGCCGCTTTGTGGCACGCCAGACTTTTCTCGGTCCACGATGCGGATTATATGGGGTTGTCCAAAACGGACGCAGGAAAGTAAACGCATATTAAAACAAGAAAGATTGATATTCAAATCAAGTTGGGTACTTTATTTTGAAGGTTCATTTATACCATTTATGTATGAAAAATAATATCGCTCAAATGTTCACCACGACTGGATTTACAGACGTCCACGCGATGGTCGAAATTTTCAATGATATTTTGCAACATGGTCGGTTCTATGGCATTTATCTCGGCAATGATGTTGTTTTTGAGTTCTTGGAGGGTGGCTGGTTTGTTGACGTAGACTTTGCTTTTCAAATATCCCCATAAAAAGAAGTCCAAGGAAGTCAAATCGCACGATCTTGGTCGCCATGGCACATTTCCTCTGCGCGAAATCACGCGATCACCGAAGGACTGCAATCGATGGATATTGACGTTGGTTGCGTGGCATGTTGCACCGTCTTGTTGGAAATAAACATCGTCCATATCCATTCCTTCAAGTTGCGGCAAAAAATAGTCCTCTATCATCACGTGATATCGCTCAGAATTGACGGTAACGGCGTCCCCGGCCGCATTTTCGAAAAAGTAATGCCTTTTGACCACAATGCACACCACACAGTCACTTTTTGAGGATGCATCGGCTGCTCTTGATACTCACGGGGATTTTCGTTCGCCCAGATGCGGCAGTTTTGCTTGTTTACCGTCCCATTCAAAGTGAAATGCGCTTCGTCGCAGAACATGACTTTTGATGAAAAATTGGAATCAATTTGGCGGCGTTCAAGGAGCCAATCTGAGAACGTTCGGCGCAAAAATGGTCGGCCCGACGCAGCTCTTGCGTCAATTGGATCTTGTATTCGTGTACATTCAAATCCTTGTGGAGAATGCGGAGCAAACTGGTTCTCGAAATGCCCAATTCTTGGGATCGACGCGTTGTTGATTGTTTCGGATCGTCTCTCACACTCTCCTTCACAACAGCAATATTTTCCGGTGTGCGAACGCTCCTTGGCCGGCCAGAGCCTGGCAGATTTGCCACAGAACCTGTTGCCTCGAATTTACGCACCAGACGACCGATGGTTGTTTCGTTTGGGCGGTTGTTGCGACCGAAATGTTCACGAAGCGCGCGAAACGTGTTTTTTATTTTTGCACCATTTTTGTAGTGCTCTTGAATAACTTTAATGCGGTCTTCAATCGAATACGACTCCATAGCGATCAATGGTAAACATTCAACTAACAAAATGACATGTCGGTGACAGAAAACAAAGATGGCGTCTATGTCAAATTGACGTTTACTTTCCTGCGTCCCTATTGGACGGCTGGTAGCGGAATACAGTAGAGTAGCAGAGCGGAGTGTATTATAGTCCAGTCAATGGCGCGACATAAGATTTAGTCAGACATAAATAGTGGTGTTCATAAATGTTCTATCTATCGAGTTAAATAAATTAGTGCATTTCTTTCTGTGGAATCCAGTGTTCTAATCCCCACCCAAAAGAACCCAGAAAAACGCTACATTGGTGTCAGGTGTGGCGGTGTGAATTATTGTACATTTAGTGAAAATAAATCGGACGAAATTGCTGATTTAAAAAGAGGAGGAAAGAGAGTGCGACACGGCTGGAAAGAAAACAGAATTACAGCAGCGGCTTCGTGAAGCACTGATTGAGGAAGGCGAGGACCCGGATAATTTCATTTTTAGCGGTGCAGGGAATATTGATTTAATGCTGCAAAACCTTTCGACCGAGTTAGAAAACAATTGTGCCGATCTTTTAGAAAATCCAGCCAAGCTAGAAAATAGGCTCGTGGAAAATTGTGAAAACCTAGAAGGAAAACTCTTGGAGTTACACGAAAGTACAGCCAAATTAGAAGAGAAGTTTTTGGAAAATACTGCCAATTTAAAAAAAGAATTGGAAGCTAAAGTTAAAGAAAAATCTTCCGAATTGGTCAAACGGATTTTTACTCTGGAGGACAGAATTCAAGAAGTGCAAGGCAAGTTTGCCGCTTTAGAAGTCAAGACCATCGACGAACGACAGCGTCGACTTCCGTTGAAAAAATCAAGTGAGGTTGGAGGTTGTTGGGTTAGCTGGTCATCTGCGAATTTCATGGTACAACACCTTGGAATGTCTACCGGTAAGTTTGAGGAGCCGCGAATGCAAATGGTTGGTCATCGACCGAAAATGCAACTGCACTCACTTTGGCCCTACGAGGAGATGCTACAGCTATTCTTCAAAGAATATCACCCGAAGAGCAAGAGGTCTGCGAACAACTAGTAGGACATTTGGAGATGCAATATGGCCAGTCAGATTTAGAACATGTCTACCATACTCAACTAAAGAATCGGTTCCACAAGTCAGGCAGGATTTCGAAACGGATATTGCGCGGTTGGTAGGATTAGCATATCCCGATGTTCAGGAAAGGATAATAGAGCGATTGGCAGTTCAAGCATTCCTGGATGGACTTCATGATGGTGAAATGAGACAAGCCTTACTACTAGCACATCCACCTAAGCTAGTAGATGCGCTAACTTGGGCATTAAAAATCGAAGCCGCTAAAAACACAAATAAAAGCCAGGACTGAGTCCGCCAGATGGTACCAGAGAAAACGAGTTCGAAGTGTCGATTGTTAAGGAACTTGATGGTGAACGTCGCTGCCAGAACAACAAGTTGGAATGTTGGAAATTTGAAAAAATAGGGCACATTAGGAGACGCTGTTTAGAGGATTGTAAGCATTGCCAGCGGGCAGAGCAGAAAGAAGTATTAAGAACTAGTATCGTTAGTGATACTTGGCAAAAAAATTAAAGATCAAGAGGGCGACCTCGATCTTCGAATAATTCTGAACTGGATGAAAGAACAACGGAAACGAGCCTGGGAGGAAGTTACTAAGTATTCCCCTACCATAAAATCATATTGGGCACAATGGAATTCTCTAGTTATGGACGACGGACTCTTACTGCGTAAAATGGTGGACCACGACGGAGAAGAGGAAAGAAGACAAATTGTTTTCCCCAGATCTCGGATCCCAGAGCTACTAGAAGAAATCCATTCCGGTGTTTCAGGAGGTCATCTCGGAGTTACAAAAACCAGGGGAAAAGCGAGGGAAATATTTTACTGGATCAATAGCAAGGAGGACGTAAAGGACTGGTGCAGAAAATGGGTTGTGTGTGCGGCAAGTAATGGACCGCAAAGGAAACCAAAAGCATCGATGCGCCAATAGAACGTGGGGAGCCCCTTTGAAAGAATTGCTATTGCGGACTATATAACTCGACGGCCGGGAGATAGAATCGGAGTACGGTAGAGTAGCAGAGCGGAGTGGATTATAGTCCAGTCAATGGCGCGATATAAGAATTAGTCAGACATAAATAGTGGTGTACATAAATGTTCTATCTATCGAGTTAAATAAATTATTAGTGCATTTCTTTTTGTGGAATCCACTGTTTTAATCCACACCCAAAAGAACCCAGAAAAACTATTTAATAATATTTAAGAAATTTACGAAAAAACATTTTTATATTTTGATATCCTGTATCTCGAGAACGAAGAATTTGCGGACTTATGTTTATATGAACTTTTTGTCTTAAAATTACTCAAAGAATCATCTGTTAAATTTATGGTATATCTTGCTGTTTGAAAAAATAAAATCGATATATTTCGTTTTCCTAAGCCAAATACAGAAATACACATTTATTCTATGAAATTAGATATGAGAAAAGAGGGCCGTCAGACACTTTTAGGTCAGTTTAGTCTGCGTCCAGCAGGCATGGTTCGACCCATCGGAGCTCCTTAATTAATAAGAGTCCTGATAATTTTATTAGTTCACGCGTTTTAGCCGTTTAATAATTATTAAACTAGAATATTAATGCATTAACTTCATTTTCCAGGAATTCAGCTTGTTAACTCACCTATTTATTGATATTATTATTCAGTGTATACCATCCGCATGGATGTGGTTTGCTATAAACACGCATGTTTACTTAACCTCGATGGCTGACAACGGACACCAAATATGCCCCACTTACGTACTTCTAATGTAATATATTTCACCACAAACTTGTGAAACATTTCAGGAAACAGAACAATTGGAGCATCTTCTACACGAGATAGAACATCAACTGCATGCATGCACAAGATCAGAGTTGATAGTGAAAAGTAACGATTTATCGCGGATGATAAATGGGATAAGAAAAAAACCAATGACTAGTTTCGTAACTCCTCCAGTACCTGCAGATTTTCATAGGTAATTGTTTTTAACTGGGTCGGGGTCGTTCGCGCCGCGTTAAATTCTGCTCCCGGCAGCGTGCCAGTCTTGGTAAGTGTTCTGGTGTTACTGCCGCGTCTGAACGGTGACCGGGTTAGCAGTGTTGCCAGAGCGAAGTTTAAAATATCCGTCACACGTATCGCAAAATTCCGCTACATGCCGCTACGGTCTAAAAATTTAAGGGGGGGGGGAGGCTTAAAATAAACAACAAATATATCTTTTACATATTTACTTTTTTTTAAACACTGCCTAAAAACCCTACTAAAAATACAAACAGTAACATAATATAATTGCAATTTTTCGTAAAAACATAAAAAGTATACCTCTAAGAAAACAAACCTGTCTTTGGTTTAGAATTAGGAACCAATTAAAAAATAGAAACTATCACCAATATCTTAATCTTAATAGAAAAAAAAAAATAAGGACAAAGAAGAAGCGGAAACGTGGAAATGCCTACGTTTGCTTATTTTATTCACAGTCAGAATCAGAAATTACTTCTTCTTCATCTTGTGCTTCCTTATTTACATTATATAAATTCTTGTTATATTTGTTTAAATGATTCTCATTAAAACTATAGGATAAACAGCACTGTTTTTTTGATTCCAAGTCTAATTTGATTGTAAGTAGTGCAGACAAAGTTGATGGTATTATTTTATTTCTTTTTTTTGTTTTGTAATCAAGCATATAAGAAAAAGTTCGCTCAACATCAGCGTTTCCATGAGGCAGTGTTAAAATGATTAAAGCCAGTTTACTTATATTGCGAAATAAATATTCGTCATTAAAATTTTTGAGGTCGTTTTGAAACGACCAAAATTCAACTTTTTGTTTTTAAAATTTCCTCTTTCTCACTATCACTAAAATAAATACATATTTTCTTTAGTTCCAAAATTGCCTTTTCGGTTTCATTTTTTTTTAAAACGGCGTCATGAAAGGTCATCACTTATAATAAGACGATTGTTCATCACATCAACCGGTGAGAGAAACTTTAGCTCTGAAAAGAAGTTGTCTTTGATAGGAAATCTTTTAAGGGACTCTTCTACCGATTTTTGGTAAAATGTGACACATTTAAATTTAAATTGTTCGATTACCGTGTTATTGCAGTGTTTTATTGCATCCATTGTATGCGGACCAACATTCACTTGTTCAATTGGTAATAAGCAGTGGGGATCATTAGGATTTAGATTATATAATTTCTCATTTTTAAAATATTCTGGTCGCATAAAGTTTGTACTTAGATGACGTACAAATCGCTCACTCTCTATTGATATGATATTGAGCATAACTTTCTCTGATTGAAAGAGAGCATTAAATTGGTTAAAAATGGGCAACACGAATTTAAAAAACAAATGGATTCTGTAACTCATTAAGTATTACATTTGCTACAGGATTTTTGTCTTCAATGGAAGCTAATCTAAATAGGCTAAGCAAGATGTCCCACTGATCCAAAACTCTATCAACACATTTGGATAAAGCAAGCCACCTTGTTTTACTAGGGCTTAAAATTTTTAATTTTGACTTTTTGAAATATTCCTGTAATTCTTCAAGAACACATTGCCTTTTTGAGCTTCTTGAGAAGTAAGATTATATAAGTTTTGTAAAAGAGATTCAACGTTGCTTGGAATCTTTTCAGCTGCCGCCACCGCCACTAAATGAGCAGATTGGCAAATGCAGCCATTGACAATTATATTAGGATTATCTTTTAAAAGATAAGTTTTGAAAGATTCGTTATTGCCCATCATAGCACTAGCGTTGTCTGAACAGTATCCAACAATATTGGTAATTTTTACTTGATTGGATATAACGCATTTTTTAAAAAGAGAATATAAACCTTTGGCGGTACCTTCATCTGCGTTTATTTTAATTATATCTAATAAATGGGTTTTAATTGAATTTTTATGAATATACCTTACAAGAATGCATAGTAGTCTTGTATTGCTCAGGTCTGTACTCTCATAAAATAAAATAGAAAATAGTTTATTTTCCAATTCTGAAATTATTTCGTCTTTAATAACAGGAGCCAGCACATTTTTAATCATACTTATGCATTTGGATCTTTTTAATTTAAGTGAGCTAGAGAGATCTGGGTCTTTAAAACATAATTGACTAACTCCTGTTATATGATCAACAGTTCTAAAACTTATGACTTACAACTAAAAGACTATATCTTAAGCAAGCAAATATTTGCCGTTTTTCCAACTCACGTGCTTCCCGAGACTGAAAAGTGCTATCTAACGTTCTTACATTCGAAATTGCTTGTACATTAGTGGCATGCCTTTTTGATTTCGAATGATTCACTAAATCTGATTTTTTAGCACCCATTATTAATTTGATTACAAGCTTTACATTTTGATTTCAACTTGTCATTTTCAATAGGTCCCAACCAGCCTTTAAATAACGGATCTTCTAGCCATGATGAAGTAAACATTTGTTTTCTTGTCTTTTTCTTAACAGGTTGCTCTGGCTCTTGGTTATCCTGAGATTCGCAAGTCGAATTATCAGGCTCAGACCTGATTCCACTAGATTCCGCTCTTCTATTTTGTCTGTATTCAGGTTCGGGATGCTCCGAGTCCGACACAGATGCAGTCGAAGTGGATGGTACGGCCACGTTTGGTTTCACCGTTTGTTTTTTAGAAGGATTTTTATCAAAAAAAATCGTTAATGGTCTGCTGTCGCCTTTCCATTATTCCTATTTTCCAGAAGAAAAAGCGTTAAAAACAAATTTCGCTACTAAGATTTATTTCTGGATCAAATTATAATATGTTAGATATTTAAGCAGTTTTGTTACTTACCAGTAGATTTAATATTAAAATCTGCAGCAAATGATATCTCAATAAAATGATCAACACAAAAATAAGAACACTAATATAAACGAAACTAAACAGTATATACCCAGAGCTGAAAAATACAATACAAAGCGAGAAACCTAATATTATGTCTGCCTGCTGAGACCTGTTAGAAACGATTAGTATTGAAAGCAGTACGTACGCCATCTGTTATTGAAAAAAATGGCAAGTGGAATAATTCTCTTCTCTGTTCCTAGATGGCTCAAGCGGCACCAAATGCACCAATTTTATTATTAATGTGATAATAAATCAGACTATAGCCACTGCCTATTTATGATTTAGAATGTTATTAACGTTAAAACAGTGAAATAAATATGATAGTTTTGTATGTAATAAATTCCGCTACACTTTGGGCTAATTTGCTCTACCGCCGCTACGCCGCTCTTCTCAAAATAATCCGCTACAAATAGCGGAATTCCGCTACGTATGGCAACACTGCGGGTTAGGTATCAGGTAGATGCGACGTTGCCAAATTCTTATTTATTTTTAGCGAAATCGTTCCGCCGTATGACTCAAGCACCTTCATAATGTACAACTTCTCGCAGCTGCAACGCAAAGCTGATCCAGTCTATTCCAACCCTTTGCAATCTAAAGGATTATGCTGGAGGTTGAAGGTATACCCTGATGGAAATGGGATTGTACGGGGAAATTATTTGTCTGTATTTTTGGAACTCACTACCGGCTACCCAGAAACTTCAAAATATGAATACAGGTAATCACGCTTAATGTACACATGTCACTAATGCCTGGTAGCAGCACAGCGTTGCTAAGGTTAGCTTCAAGCTAAGCAGAACATTAACTTCCATTATATTATTGCACCCGATACGCTTAAAACTTAACAAACAGTTAAGCGAAGTCGTGGAATTTTTCTGCTTAAGGTGGATTTTCTAACATGTAATGCCAACTTGCCGGTTTGACATATTTATGATTTGACAGACTGATGACCAGTGTTTGTCGAGTTCTTTGTAATCTAAAACAGCGGATAGGGAAAATTGATGTTGTTTGTTGTTTAAGATTTATTTAGGTTGATTGCTACAATTACATTCTTTTAAAAAACTACAAAAATTACACAACATACAGATATTTAAAAAAACTAAATTTGCATCTCTAAGAATTTTCGCTGTCCATAAAATATCCATTTAATTTTCTTTTAAACATCTTTAAATTACAAGTAGACTTTATGACATTATTAAGTTTATTAAATTCGGGTAATCCTTTCTGAAATATTGATTTGCTAGTTATATTACAATCTGAAAGAATTATTACATTTTTTTTAATACATACTGAGATTATTGGAAACTCTGTAGTCTATAGAAGTACTTTATCTTTTTTGATAATTTTGAAATAATGTACCCATAATGCTCTTGAAACAGTAGTTTACTATCCATGGTCGGTATTGAAACATCGAATGACTTTTTTTAGTCATAAATCGCTTAACACCTAAACAAGAAGAAATAGTCACAATGTACATTGAAATCATCGTTCAGTTGTGTTAATGCAACGTGCATATCGTCGAAAATATCGTGGCAAACAGTCACCGTCTGACAACACTATCCGTCGTTTGGTTTCGAATTTTCTTGAGTACGGGACAGTGGGAGATCGTCAACATACCGTTCATCAACGACCAAGACATTCCAATGAATTGGTTGAAGCGGTGAGAGACAGCGTTGCCCAGAACCCAAAAGTGTCGTATCGTCACCGCGCTTGGCATTTTGGCATCAGTGGAACCACGTTGCGGCGCATTTTGAAGGATGGTTTGCATTTGTTTCCTTATAAGGTGCAGTTAACACAAAAAAATATTGGCAACTGACCGTCCACGTCGCTTGGAATACGCCCAAACAGTCACTCGCATGGTTGATGCTGAACCTGATTTTTGGAAGCAAATTGTGACGACCAACGAGGCCCATTTCACGCTCTCTGACGGCGTTAATAAGCAAAACTGCCGCATTTGGGGAAAAATCCACATAAGATCCACGAACTGTCGTTGCATGACCGGAAAGTGACTGTTTGGGCCGACGTTTACACCAAAACCATCATTGGGCCATTTTTCTTCAACGAAAACGAAACAGTTGATGGTAATCGATATCGGTGGATGTTGGCTCATTATGTCTGCCCCCAATTGCGTGAAAAAGGCCTTGATGGTTTCAATAAGACGGTGCGACAAGCCACACGGCGAATGAAACAATCCAGTTTCTGCAACCGAAATTCCCTGGACGTATGATGTCAAAAAGATGTGACATTGAGTGGCCACCCAGGTCTCCAGATTTGACCTCACCGGACTTCTTCTTGTGGGGTTATTTGAAAAGTCAAGCATACGCCAGCAAGCCCCAGACCACTGAAGAACTCAAGGCAAACATTCGTACCGCAATCGCCGGTATACCACTAGAGATGCTGGAAAAAGTAATGGAAAACGCAGCAGGACGGGCACATTTTGTGTTGGCCAATAAAGGTGGCCACTTGATGGATGCTGTGTTCAAAAACTAGACCCAATAAATTGTAAAAGACCATATTTAATAAAAATACCCGATATAAAGAAATCAGTTTTTCGTTTTCACAGTTATTTCATCTTTACATACCGACATAAAAGATGGCGCACCCATATACCCACATATTTGAATGATTCGTCTACTGCAATTTTTTCATCATTTTTTGACATATTCACTTGCTTTGACATCTTCCAGTTTGACCGGAAACTATCCCAACTTTCGATTTTTAAATGGGACACCCTATATATTTTTAATTATTTCGATGGAGAATGATATTCTGAACTCAGCAACAATTCAATTGTCAATATTTGAACAAATAAGGTCATTTTTTCATTTTTTATTTTTCGATCTAGAATGCCATGGATCTTGTAAATCGCTTAATTTTTGATCAAGTAACACGGAAAAAATACGATTTTGAGGTGAACTACCTTACAGGCGTTTTAAAGATTTGCTAAAAGTTACAAACACTAATTTTTTCAGTTTTCTTAATTTTGTCAAATACAGGGTCCGTCAGCAAGAACGCATGTTTTTTAAAGGATTAGTACAGTCAAAATAAGTATGGGAAAAAATATTTTATTATATCAAAATACTCAGAAATACATGCCATTTTTTTGAGTAAAACAAAATTTACGTTCTAAAAACTATGTCGGTTGATTTCAGGTAGCCCCATAAAAAATCACACGTTGACAGGTCCGGGGAGCGAGGGGGTCATGGAATATCTCCATGACGTGAAATGAGACGTCCTGGGAATTTTTGCCGAAGAAGTTCCATCGAAGTGCGGGCTGTGTGAGATGTTGCCCCGTCTTGTTGGAACCACACTGTTCTGAGACGGACACGTCGACGTCGAAGTTTCGGAAAAAAAGTTGTTCAGCATGTGGATGTAACGCTCTGATTCACAGTAGTTGTTTCTCCATCATCCTCAAAAAAATAAGGGCCAATAATCATCGTTGGGCCTACTGCACACCAAACTGAACTTTCCGAGTATGCAGGGGTGCTCATTCAACTGTTCACTGGAGACCAATATCGACAATTTTGTTTATTGACGTATCCATGTAAATGAAAATGTGCTTCATCACTCATAAACAACGTCATGTCATTGTTATCCAACTGTTCAATCATGAGCTGTGTGAAATTAACACGTTGTACATAATCCCCTCGCAACAGTTGTTGACAAACTTGGATTTTGTAATCCTTCTTCAAGATGCGTCGTACAGAGGACTTGTGGATCCCTAGGGAAGTGGCACTCAAACGGTCGGAACGATTCGTGTCAACTCTCACTCTGTCTACGTTTTCGGGGGTTCTAACAGTATGGTTTCGCCCTGGCGGTTTTTTCTTCATCACATTACCTGTTGTGTTGAATGCTTCCACCCATCTCAAAATGGTGTTATGGTCTGGTACTGTCCCACGACGTGGAACACAAAAGTGAACGCGAAACTCACGTTTGAAAGTACCGACGTACAGTGAACACACGATGCTCAACGTTCCATACCATCTTGCTAACTCAAACGGCAGTTACCACTATCCAACACGCCCTTCCCCACCGACACGGGACCAGCGCACTCGATGTAGTACCGATTCGAAAAACATGCGTTCTTTCTGACGGACCCTGTAGAAAGGGCGTGGCTCGTCGGCGATTTCTAAGAGACCATTTTCTTACAAATAATTTGACACCACACACTCTTATTTTATTTTCAATATTTTTCTGAATAATTGTAAGAAACGATCATACCTAAAAACAAATAATTGCAGGTGGTGCTAGTTACTTGTTGTTACTTCAACAAATATCTAACCTAGGTTATTAAAAATACTGTCAGTTTTGAAAATGTATTTATACGTAGTTAATTTACAATGGAAAACTATACTAGCAACGACAAAATTGGCATGCTGTTGATTTACGGGGAAGCCAGAAAAAATGCAACTGAAGCAGCTCGAATTTATTCTCAGAGATTCCCTAATCGCCTTCCCCATCGGCATTATTTTCCGAAACTGGAACAGGAAATGCAACTGGTTTTTGACTAAATCCACAGAATATGTACGTTTTCCGTTTAAAATTATTCATTCAGACGAAAGTCGGTTTACCAACATGGGTATGTTCAATCGGAATAATAAAAGGTACTGGTCACAAACAAACTTACGTCTAATACAAGGAAATTTTCAAGATCGATTTAGTTTCAATTGCTGGACGGGTATTATCGGAGCAAAATTTTTTGGGCCAATAATTTTCGATGGACAATTTCCAGAAGACATTGAGAATTTACACAGGCTGTGCTTGACCACTATATACTTCACGTGGGTCAATCGGCAGCCCTTAGAGTCCAGTGGTAGCGAATTTCTTCATGGAGGATCTTGAACATGCTCTCAGCAGTGCACCTTACAAACCCAAAACATGGATTCGATATGCCGATGACACTTATGTAATATGCAGCCACGGACCTGAGAAACTTAATGAATTGCTCACTCATATCAATAACATACATAACAACATCAAATACACCATGGAGCTAGAAGACAACGGCAAACTGGCTTTCTTGGACGTAATACTAACCCGCCGAGAGAGACGATTGGCACATACGGTATATAGAAAACAAACGGTATCTGCATACGAATGGAGGCTATATAGGTACACAAACACAGGGACAAGTTTAACAAAATAGAGGAATCGCTGAAAGTAGACAAAAATTGGCTATCAGTATTAAAAAAACGCAAAAATTTCGTCATCCAAATGGCAAAACAGCAGCCGAGTAATCCCGAGCGCGACGTCAGCCGAGGATTCCCGAAGAGCTCTCCCCACCACCCGAGCCATATATAAATATGAGCTAAGACCGCGGAGATGTCAGTAGCTCAAAGGACTCCGAACTGTGAACATCTTCTGAAGATGCCAATCATTCGTGTTGGCGAAATGTCAAGTAAAACTATTTTACGACGGCCTAACTACCCAAAAACCAACTAAATAACATTACGTATTATTTTTTGTTAAGTATGATCGTTTCTTACGATTATTCAGAAAATAAAATAAGAGTGAGTAGCGTCAAATTATTGGTAAGAAAAGGGTGTCTTAGAGAAAGCTGACGCCACCGCCTTCCTAATTGAAAAAATCAAGTAAACTGAAAAAGTAGTATTTGTAACTTTTAGAAAATCTTTAAAACGACTGTAAGTGAATAAGTTAAAAAATGTAAATTCATTTATAATACGCAACCACCAAATTACGTTTATCTATTTACAATAATAACAAAGTTATAGGAGTGAGCTACCTTGGAGAATCACCCGGTATATCAATGTATCGTCCGCAAATATTTGAATTTTGCAGTGTTGAAAATGTCAGAGATGATTTATATATATATATATATATATATATATATATACAGGGTGACTTCGAAGTTGAGTCATTTATTTTAACAGTGAGTAGATCTGATCAAAAGAAATGGTTTTTTCCTTTACCATTTTTCTGGTAAAATCAAAGTAACAAAGTTATAGCCCTTTGGAAGTTTGAGTACCGCCCTGTCTCAATGATAATACTATGTGCTCGTGTTTGGCAACAACGGATATAATCCGCCATCGGTTCATCGCATCGGAAACAAAAAAGCGAAAGAATTTGGAACGATGTTTTTACAATTATTTTATTCAGCTGTGTTGTATACAGTCAGTGTCAGTCGGTAGTGGTGTCTGTTGCGTGGCTCAAACGAAATAAAAAATGGCACATGTTTATGCGGATCGGTTTCCCAATCGAGTGCAACCAACCCCTCGTGCCTTTGTTAATGTAGTACAACGGGCTCGTGAATCAGGTGACTTAAGACGGCATGCCGGTGCTCCAAGACCTCGCGATCAAATACAGGTCCGCACTGAAATACTTGTCGGGAGGATACTTTATAAAACAAAATAAATTTGTTTTTTAATTTTTTTTTTATTTTTACACACATATTTTGGTTTATCTTCCTTCTACAATCATTATCTGAAAATTAATGACTCAACTTCAAAGTCACCCTGTATATACAGTGCTTTTCTTTAATGTCCAACTCCCCTTTGATTTTTTGAACGGATCAATTAAAAACAATAAAACTTGAGGTAATGAAATTGATGCGTGGATACCATATTTTAGAGTAAAATTGACAGATGAAAATGTCAAGATTGCCGCTGGGCGCCATCTTAAAAAAAAAATTATATGAAAACGGGGGTCTTGTGGCACATCATTTTGAAGCTCCTGACGAGTAATTTATAACTCTAGAATATAAAATCAATTCCTTTACCTACTACAAAATGGTGGTACATTTAATAATTACTTGAACACAAACCCACTAACATGCATATCTCTACAAATAATTGTAATTCCCTGCCGTATCCACAGCAACAGCGATAAAAACTTGTTTTGTTATTTTTTGTTGACAGTGACAAGAATATCAGTACGAAAACAAACATCATTGTACAGTTAAAAAATTCTTATTTAGTTTTCGGTTTTAGTGCTAGATACTGTTTGACCTATTTTTAAAATGGTCAATTCTCGTCCATTGGAAGAAAAAATCTAATAGTAAATCCCCAACAGTCTACTTCCTCCATCGCGAATGTATGTGAGGTTTGTCCTTCTACTGTATGGAGACTTTTGAAAAAGAATAAGTAGAACCCATACAAAATTCAAAGGTACATCAGCTAACTGAAGATGACCCTGATCGAAGAACATAATTCTATGAGACTATGACAGAAATCATTGCACGGCATCCTACCTCTATCCAAAATATTTGTTTTAGCGATGAATGTACATTTTTTCTCAACGGTAATGTGCATAGACAAAATTACCGTTATTGGAGTGGCACCAATCCTCACGTCTTCCGGGAAACTCATACTCAATATCCACAAAAAATTAACGTTTGAGCTGGGATATTTGGAAATCATATTGTGGGGCCTTTATTCATCGAACAAACTTTAACCGGGGAACTGTATTTGGATATGCTGTAAAATACTATTGACCCCTCTAATCACCGAAATCGCCGAAGCGAATCCTGATGAATTCAATACTGATATTGTATTCCAGCAAGCTGGTGCTCCACCAAACTACTACAGACAAGTTAAGAATTATTTAGATAACAATTTCCCTGGTCGTTGGATTGGCCGTCGAGGTCCTGTGGAATGGCCAGCTCGCTCACCAGGTTTGACACCTTTAGACTTTTTTTATGTGGCTATTTGAAGCAAAAGGTGTACGAAACTGAACTTACTTCAATATTGGATATGCCGCTGAGAATAGCAAATATTTGTAGAAATATCGATGTTACTACTATGTATGTTTGAAAATGTTCGACGCGGAATTACGGACCGGCTGTTATTGTGTCAAGAAGTTCAAGGCAAGCATTGCCAGCATCTTCTAAACTGAACTCAACGTATTTATTCGAATTATTAAGTTAAATGTCAATTTATTCAGGTAATTATTAAATGTACCACCATTTTGTAGTAGGTAAAGGTAATGACTTTATATTCTAGGGTTATAAAGTACTCGCCAGGAGCTTCAAAATGATGTGCCACATGACCCCCGTTTTCATATAATTTTTTTTCCAAGAAATCAAAGGGGAGGGGGACATTAAATAAAAGCACTGTATATATAATGTACTCCCCTGTGCCACCTCTACTGATATATTTTTAACGCTTCACATAATATTTCCATCTTTAGTTGTTTGACTTCTATTTACTGAACAATTTTGTAAAATCTTTAATACCGATCCTGTAAAACCATAGCGATGTAATTTCATTAACACTTTTTCCCTATCTATAGTCTCAAATGCCCTTTTGAAGTCTAAAAATACTGTTATAATAGATTCTTTCTAATCTATACTTCTCCAGTCTTTCTCCACGATTTGGATTGCTGTTTCTGTAGAATATTTTTCCTAAGTCCAGCTTGATTTTTTGTTAAAAATTTCGGTTCCTTCAATGAATTGAATGATTACTTCGTATATTATCCCTCCGGCCGCATATTTGTATACGTATATAGTTCAGAATGTTGAACTTTTGGCACAGGAGTAATGGTGGAACAGTTTAATTTTGATGGGAATTCACCATGTATTAAATAAACACCGATTCACCACTAATAATAATTTCTCTCCAATATATTGAAACAATCATTTAATATCTTTTTTGAGTAACTCTCACTATTATAACGTTTTGTTGTAGAGTAGAAATGGTGCATCAGGCAAGTAGAGATTCATCTAAAAACATTATCAGAGAGTTCGCTTCAGATTTTGAAGTTGGAGAGTGTTGGGGATACAACAGATTCTTCAGACTAGATTTGCTGGCTAGCGAAGGGTACTTGAATGTCACTTTGGACACATTAGTATTAAGGTAACTGTGATTTTCATAGTGTAGATTGTAGATGAATCATGGACATTGTTCAATTTACTTCATCAATTCTCGTGTTTAGGTATCTTTCCCTCTTATTTAGTCTGTTGTCAGCATAATACTTTTAGAGCTTTTTTAATCCCCAAGTTTTGTTAGTGCAGTATCGTCAGTCATTCCTACAACTATTGTAGGACGCCTTTATGGCCTCCTTGATTTTCATAGTTTTCTACTGACCCGTATCAGCGCTCTATTTGAGGTTATGTTACAAATACCTATTTGCATCAAATTGTTCATGATTTATATCATCTGTTATACCAGCCTGACATTTGCTACAATTTATAAAGAAAACATAGCCTCACAATAGGAGAGCGCTGACGCTGACTCGGAACAGTAGAAACTTAGGAATGTCCCAGCCTTTCTGAGGGAGAGAAAATACTATGAAAATCAAGCAGGCCATAAAGGCAACCTACAATTGTAGGAACGACTGACGATACGCACCTTAATGAAAATACATTCATTTTTTGGAATTGTTTCCTAGATTTCAGATAAGAGCACCGACGTTCTATCAAAAATGTCGTGATCTCCAGTGGTATATTAATCAAATACAGTCTAGATCTCAATCCTGTCTAACACCGAATGAGAACAAGGTACAGGCTACTCGATTTGATTCACATCCCTCAGTCAATGGAGGTAAGAAATATAATTTGTGAAATACATGATGTCCCAATATTCCGTGGAGATAGAAGTACCATGCATTTTTAGACTCTAAGTTAGTCGATTAGTCTCAAAAATTTACCTCTATGGAAAAGTTTTTAGTTGTCCGTTTAGTTGTCTTGTTAATCCGTTCCTGGTGATGAATCCTTTTCCGCAGTCCTCATAGATGTATCTGGTCGGTTAGGCATGCCCCAGGGTGGCCGTATTACTGGCTCCTGTAATTTTGTATAAGTTTCTTGGGCATGCCCTGCTGGTTCCGGCGGCTGGAGGGCCGCTGGCAGTCTTGCTGCCACCCGCTGGCGGACTTTTTAGGTCTCCGCTCCTATGATTCGTAGGGTTGCTGCGGGTGGCTAGACGTGGTGCTTTGGCACCACGTGTGTGGCTCTCTCCTCCTCTTGCTGTGGCGGGGTCATTCCTCTTCTTCCCGGGGTCGGCCATCGCGCATGCGCCGCCTGCGCCGGATGACCGTCGACAAGGTCCTTCCTTTCTACGTACGGGAGTGAAGACCGTTCGCCGCTAGGTGGACTGGTTCCGGAAATATCGCGTTTAAAAGATTTGATCTCCCAAACTACCTCCTTCCAGCTCCTGTTCTTCTGATACCTGGCCGCACTTGATACGGCCAGGTACGGCGTTATTTTCCAAGATATCGAGCTGGAATTTGGTGTGTGTCCTTAGGGGCGGTAGATGATTACGTAGACGCCTTTTTGGCCCCGTCGGACACGATGGAAAAGCCAAAAGGGCACTAGCGGCTAAACGCCGGAAACCGGCGTTGCGGGGGGTAATCGAGCTGGTGTAATGTTATCTGATGTGCGATGCCCCAAAGACAGTATGGGGCCCGCTATTCGTCATGTGATTCTAACCTTTAATGTATGATTTTAGGTTAGAATCGTGTTGTTTATATATATTTCACTACCCTTTGCACTCACTCCGCTGTCTTCACTCCCACGCACTAACCCCGCCACCACACGTGTGTTCACCCGTTGATCTGGGCGTCGCGACGCGGAAGAGTCTCTTGAGGCGTTAATTAAATTCGCGAGATCCGCACACACGTGCACACTCTCCAGCGGCGGAGAAGAGAGTTTGTTTGCCCGTCAGAGGGCGTCAAAGTTTTCTTTTTAAAACACACGCTGTATGGTCAAATATGTTGATAATGAGCTTATCTACAACGTCCTGAAGTATTCTATTGTTCTAATATTGAAAAGGTATAACGAGCGACGTGGGCACCAATCCCATACCATCTACTTCACACGACTGTCCACCGGAGAAATGTGTGAGTTCAACGATTACGAAAGAGGCTGACAGTACGAAAATGGAAGAAGAGATGGATACCAGCAATAACGTTGCTACCACCAGCGTTACACCCACGAACAAAATCACGCTAACGTCAAAATCCAGCAACCATTCTGTGGGTAGTACTACGTCGGATTCATCCATACAAACACAGGTATCGATTGAAAAGTTTACCCATCTTACTTGTTATGCCAAAATTGGCGAGGAAGTGTTGTAATCGCGAAAATTTTCGAAATTGAGATATTACGTTTTTTGGATATTATATGACGTACATAGGGTGTAAAGTTAGTAGTGGATCAACGGAAGTCAGGTCATAGAGGGCCTCAAAATATATCGAATGAACCAGTATATGTGTGGTCCGAAATTTTATAGTTCAGGAGATATTTGCCATTTTGGGAAATTTCGAAAAAAACAGGATGAACTTTCAAACCGCGGTGATTCTAGCAACAACGGCCAGCCAGCAACAAACGATAGTCCCTCTTCTCACCAGCGGCCGCGTCGCGCTGGACACCATCGCGCGTCGCTACAGCAGCGAAGCCGGCGCAGCGTAAGCAGGCGGTGCGGCACCGTCTTCCCATGTAAAACGGAGTTATAGTATCTACACAAAATTATATACATTGTGTATTGTCAGTGTTATCACACTATCTATCACATTCCGTGGCCGGGGCATATTAAGCCTACCAGAGGGAGCGAAAGTTACCTATACGAAACTCACATGGAAATTTGAAAATTAAAATTCTCAATTTTTCTTCAAATCAACACCACTTTTTTTTCACGAAAATCAATTCTACAATGCATCCTTCATATCCGGGATCGATTACATCCCGTGGCCGGGGCATATTAAGCCTACCAGAGGGAGCGAAAGTTACCTATACGAAACGCACATGGAAATTTGAAAATTAAAATACTCAATTTTTCTTCAAATTAACACCACTTTTTTTTCACGAAAATCAATTTTACAATGTATCCTTCATATCCGGGATCGATTACATCTCGTGGCCGGGGCATATTAAGCATACCAGAGGGAGCGAAAGTTACCTATACGAAACGCACATGGAAATTTGAAAATTAAAATTCTCAATTTTTCTTCAAATCAACACTACTTATTTTTCACGAAAATCAATTCTACAATGCATCCTTCATATCCGGGATCGATTACATCCCGTGGCCGGGGCATATTAAGCCTACCACAGGGAGCGAAAGTTACCTATACGAAACGCACATGGAAATTTGAAAATTAAAATACTCAATTTTTCTTCAGATTAACACCACTTTTTTTTCACGAAAATCAATTTTACAATGTATCCTTCATATCCGGGATCGATTACATCTCGTGGCCGGGGCATATTAAGCCTACCAGAGGGAGCGAAAGTTACCTATACGAAAAGCACATGGAAATTTGAAAATTAAAATACTCAATTTTTCTTCAAATCAACACCACTTTTTCTTCACGAAAATCAATGCTACAATGTATCCTTCATATCCGGGATCGATTACATCTCGTGGCCGGGGCATATTAAGCCTACCAGAGGGAGCGAAAGTCACCTATACGAAACGCACATGGAAATTTGAAAATTAAAATACTCAATTTTTCTTCAGATTAACACCACTTTTTTTTCTTGAAAATCAATTTTACAATGTATCCTTCATATCCGGGATCGATTACTTCTCGTGGCCGGGGCATATTAAGCCTACCAGAGGGAGCGAAAGTTACCTATACGAAATGCACATGGAAATTTGAAAATTAAAATACTCAATTTTTCTTCAGATTAACACCACTTTTTTTTCACGAAAATCAATTTTACAATGTATCCTTCATATCCGGGATCGATTACATCTCGTGGCCGGGGCATATTAAGCCTACCACAGGGAGCGAAAGTTACCTATACGAAACGCACATGGAAATTTGAAAATTAAAATACTCAATTTTTCTTCAGATTAACACCACTTTTTTTTCTTGAAAATCAATTTTACAATGTATCCTTCATATCCGGGATCGATTAAATCTCGTGGCCGGGGCATATTAAGCCTACCAGAGGGAGCGAAAGTTACCTATACGAAACGCACATGGAAATTTGAAAATAGGGTTTGTGCCGTTGTTTGACTGAAGAATCTTTACATTCAGGGTCTCTAGTAAGGTTTTTTAGGAATACAGACGATATCACATCACATATATTTTTATTGCTATTTCAGTATCTTGAAAAACAAATTTTATTATCTTAGAGATGACTCCCCAGTTCTTCCTGTCCAGACCGCATGCAATTCTGGGGAAGGCCACTTTGTTTACACCGTATAGGTTGGCATACTCGCGCACGCGACGCAACGCCAAAAATATAGTTATATAAGTGGGCTTTCCCCAAAAATGTTTTTTGGTTACCATGTAGAACAACAATCTACCCTCACGTTTGAGGACGCCGACTCCTCCCGGAGCTACATGTTGGGCACGAAGTTCCTCCAGGCCGCCGTATTTTTGCCTGAAATTGTGAGCTTTACCATCAGAAACTTTCTTATCTTGTTTAACTATACTATACCTAAATATTTTAGCGATGCATCGTGACATTTTCAGATCTTGCGAAACACAATGTCCCAACGAGTAATCTAGTGGAGCAGTGAATAAATCTGCTCTAACTTCCTCGTAATCGCAGTAGTGTGTGACGCCTGTATTGTATTGTGCCCACCACATCTTCCACTCCGCATCGCTGTACTTTTGGGGTCTGTATCTTCGATTCCTGCAGATTATTATGTATTGTATAATAAACATTCTAAAGCAAACGCCAGCTTCTGAGACCGGCAGAGCTGGATGTTTATCGTTTATTATGCCGGTATTTTCAAGGTACACACCTTAAATAGTGTTGTGATGATCTATTTGCTTGATTCTTTTATATTAACAATAAGGATTTATTACAGATATCTCAAGTGTTCCGATTATACAACGATAACTTTGCATGAGAGCGCACGCGATGGTTGACACATCTGCAATAGAAGCATATTATTACACCTTGAGATATACATGTCTATACCAGTGGCGGTTCCACTGTAGGAGCACATGAGCACGTGCACCCCCAAAATAAATAATAAAAAATATGTATAACATCCATTTAATAGTTTCTCAAATAAAGTTCGAGCCTCCCTGATGTTTAATCGTAAAACATCAAAGATCTAGTAGCTCTCCACTGGTGAGTCACCAGTCTTACCGCTGCGCTTCCTGATTCGGGCAATTCGGACTTGTGATTTGGACTGGCCCGGTCCGACTGCCGCCGACGGGTGACGGCGGATGACGACGAATAGTCGCATTATGCGATCATGTATTACGCGGGATTAGTGCGTTTATTTCCCTGCTGTTCTGGTTGCGGGGTATAGCGGGGTTATCGCAATTTTAGTTGGAGAAGGCGCACACTTCTGGAGTGCGCCATTGTCCGTTGCGCGTGCATTTTATGCAGTAATTGGAGGCGTGTTAAAATTTTTATGTTCGTGGCAGTATTTCAATAAGATATTGAGTTAAAATGGATGGTTTCAATGTGGCATATTTGAGACATAACTAGGATACATTGTAAAATTAATTTTCGTGAAAAAAAAGTAGTGTTGATTTGAAGAAAAATTGAGAATTTTAATTTTCAAATTTCCATGTGCGTTTCGTATAGGTAACTTTCGCTCCCTCTGGTAGGCTTAATATGCCCCGGCCACGAGATGTAATCGATCCCGGATATGAAGGATGCATTGTAGAATTGATTTTCGTGAAAAAAAAGTGGTGTTGATTTGAAGAAAAATTGAGAATTTTAATTTTCAAATTTCCATGTGAGTTTCGTATAGGTAACTTTCACTCCCTCTGGTAGGCTTAATATGCCCCGGCCACGAGATGTAATCGATCCCGGATATGAAGGATACATTGTAAAATTGATTTTCGTGAAAAAAAAGTGGTGTTGATTTGAAGAAAAATTGAGAATTTTAATTTTCAAATTTCCATGTGAGTTTCGTATAGGTAACTTTCGCTCCCTCTGGTAGGCTTAATATGCCCCGGCCACGAGATGTAATCGATCCCGGATATGAAGGATGCATTGTAGAATTGATTTTCGTGAAAAAAAAGTGGTGTTGATTTGAAGAAAAATTGAGAATTTTAATTTTCAAATTGCCATGTGAGTTTCGTATAGGTAACTTTCGCTCCCTCTGGTAGGCTTAATATGCCCCGGCCACGAGATGTAATCGATCCCGGATATGAAGGATGCATTGTAGAATTGATTTTCGTGAAAAAAAAGTGGTGTTATTTGAAGAAAAATTGAGAATTTTAATTTTCAAATTTCCATGTGAGTTTCGTATAGGTAACTTTCGCTCCCTCTGGTAGGCTTAATATGCCCCGGCCACGAGATGTAATCGATCCCGGATATGAAGGATACATTGTAGCATTGATTTTCGTGAAAAAAAAGTGGTGTTAATTTGAAGAAAAATTGAGTATTTTAATTTTCAAATTTCCATGTGCGTTCCGTATAGGTAACTTTCGCTCCCTCTGGTAGGCTTAATATGCCCCCCACGAGATGTAATCGATCCCGGATATGAAGGATGCATTGTAAAATTGATTTTCGTGAAAAAAAAGTGGTGTTGATTTGGAGAAAAATTGAGAATTTTAATTTTCAAATTTCCATGTGAGTTTCGTATAGGTAACTTTCGCTCCCTCTGGTAGGCTTAATATGCCCCGGCCACGAGATGTAATCGATCCCGGATATTAAGGATGCATTGTAGAATTGATTTTCGTGAAAAAAAAGTGGTGTTGATTTGAAGAAAAATTGAGAATTTTAATTTTCAAATTTCCATGTGAGTTTCGTATAGGTAACTTTCGCTCCCTCTGGTAGGCTTAATATGCCCCGGCCACGAGATGTAATCGATCCCGGATATGAAGGATGCATTGTAGAATTGATTTTCGTGAAAAAAAAGTGGTGTTGATTTGAAGAAAAATTGAGAATTTTAATTTTCAAATTTCCATGTGAGTTTCGTATAGGTAACTTTCGCTCCCTCTGGTAGGCTTAATATGCCCCGGCCACGAGATGTAATCGATCCCGGATATGAAGGATGCATTGTAGAATTGATTTTCGTGAAAAAAAAGTGGTGGTGATTTGAAGAAAAATTGAGAATTTTAATTTTCAAATTTCCATGTGAGTTTCGTATAGGTAACTTTCGCACCCTCTGGTAGGCTTAATATGCCCCGGCCACGAGATGTAATCGATCCCGGATATGAAGGATACATTGTAGCATTGATTTTCGTGAAAAAAAAGTGGTGTTAATTTGAAGAAAAATTGAGTATTTTAATTTTCAAATTTCCATGTGCGTTCCGTATAGGTAACTTTCGCTCCCTCTGGTAGGCTTAATATGCCCCCCACGAGATGTAATCGATCCCGGATATGAAGGATGCATTGTAGAATTAATTTTCGTGAAAAAAAAGTGGTGTTGATTTGAAGAAAAATTGAGTATTTTAATTTTCAAATTTCCATGTGCATTTCGTATAGGTAACTTTCGCTCCCTCTGGTAAGCTTAATATGCCCCGTCCACGAGATGTAATCGATCCCGGATATGAAGGATGCATTGTAGAATTGATTTTCGTGAAAAAAAAGTGGTGTTGATTTGAAGAAAAATTGAGTATTTTAATTTTCAAATTTCCATGTGCTTTTCGTATAGGTAACTTTCGCTCCCTCTGGTAGGCTTAATATGCCCCGGCCACGAGATGTAATCGATCCCGGATATGAAGGATACATTGTAGAATTGATTTTCGTGAAAAAAAAGTGGTGTTGATTTGAAGAAAAATTGAGAATTTTAATTTTCAAATTTCCATGTGAGTTTCGTATAGGTAACTTTCGCTCCCTCTGGTAGGCTTAATATGCCCCGGCCACGAGATGTAATCGATCCCGGATATGAAGGATGCATTGTAGAATTGATTTTCGTGAAAAAAAAGTGGTGTTGATTTGAAGAAAAATTGAGAATTTTAATTTTCAAATTTCCATGTGAGTTTCGTATAGGTAACTTTCGCTCCCTCTGGTAGGCTTAATATGCCCCGGCCACGAGATGTAATCGATCCCGGATATGAAGGATGCATTGTAGAATTGATTTTCGTGAAAAAAAAGTGGTGTTGATTTGAAGAAAAATTGAGAATTTTAATTTTCAAATTTCCATGTGAGTTTCGTATAGGTAACTTTCGCTCCCTCTGGTAGGCTTAATATGCCCCGGCCACGAGATGTAATCGATCCCGGATATGAAGGATACATTGTAGCATTGATTTTCGTGAAAAAAAAGTGGTGTTAATTTGAAGAAAAATTGAGTATTTTAATTTTCAAATTTCCATGTGCGTTCCGTATAGGTAACTTTCGCTCCCTCTGGTAGGCTTAATATGCCCCCCACGAGATGTAATCGATCCCGGATATGAAGGATGCATTGTAGAATTAATTTTCGTGAAAAAAAAGTGGTGTTGATTTGAAGAAAAATTGAGTATTTTAATTTTCAAATTTCCATGTGCGTTTCGTATAGGTAACTTTCGCTCCCTCTGGTAAGCTTAATATGCCCCGTCCACGAGATGTAATCGATCCCGGATATGAAGGATGCATTGTAGAATTGATTTTCGTGAAAAAAAAGTGGTGTTGATTTGAAGAAAAATTGAGTATTTTAATTTTCAAATTTCCATGTGCTTTTCGTATAGGTAACTTTCGCTCCCTCTGGTAGGCTTAATATGCCCCGGCCACGAGATGTAATCGATCCCGGATATGAAGGATACATTGTAGCATTGATTTTCGTGAAGAAAAAGTGGTGTTGATTTGAAGAAAAATTGAGAATTTTAATTTTCAAATTTCCATGTGCGTTTCGTATAGGTAACTTTCGCTCCCTCTGGTAGGCTTAATATGCCCCGGCCACGAGATGTAATCGATCCCGGATATGAAGGATGCATTGTAGAATTGATTTTCGTGAAAAAAAAAGTGGTGTTGATTTGAAGAAAAATTGAGAATTTTAATTTTCAAATTTCCATGTGAGTTTCGTATAGGTAACCTTCGCTCCCTCTGGTAGGCTTAATATGCCCCGGCCACGGAATGTGATAGATAGTGTGATAACACTGACAACACACAATGTATATAATTTTGTGTAGATACTATAACACCGTTTTACATGGGAAGACGGTGCCGCACCGCCTGCTTACGCTGCGCCGGCTTCGCTGCTGTAGCGACGCGCGATGGTGGCCAGCGCGACGCGGCCGCTGGTGAGAAGAGGGACTATCGTTTGTTGCTGGCTGGCCGTTGTTGCTAGAATCACCGCGGTAACTTTCAATCGCAATTACAACTAAACCATTAAGTTTAGGGCTGTGATTTTTTTTCTGAGATGAGCTAAATGGTTAGTTTTAGCAATGGTTATGCCAATTTTTAATATAGGTAATTAGAAATCAACGCAAAAAATCTCAAATTCATTTTTTTGTGAAAAATCTCTTCCATCCCTTAACTTTGGAGAGCGGTAAAAAAATTGAAGTTGCACTTCATTATTTATTTTATTGTAAAAACCATTTCAAGACAATTCATCTTCAGATTCCGAGATAAATTTACAAGAAACTTTGTCCATCCCAACTCAGAGCACACAGCCTGATACTAACCAAACTCAAATGAGGAAAAGCTTCATAACTCCAAAATCCGTGGCAGACTTAGATAGTTGTCAGTTAAGTATGAGAAATGCTGTTTTTATTATTTTAGCAACCATTGAGGTACTTGGAAATAACACTTACTATAAGCAAGTCCGCCACTCATAGAATTCGTACCGAAAAGCGAAAGGAGCGCACAGAAGCATAAAGCTTGATATCCAAAGCGAAGGTACCGGATACTGTAACTGTACACTGGGACGGCAAATTGTTGCCACCTTTAAATGCACGCAAGTCTAAAGAAGAACGTCTACCGATTGTTATAACGTATGAAAATAAAGAACAACTTATTGCTGTGCCCAAATTGGATAACTCTTCAGGCAGCGAGCAGGCTCAGACAGTTTGGGGTGCTACTATTGACTGTAATCTTGAAGATGAAGTTCAGATTCACTGCTGGGATACCACTGCTTCAAATATGGGTCGCATTAACGGTGCCTGAGTGCTTCTCGAACAGAAACTTAATAAAAAATGCATATTTTTGCTTGCCGGCATCACGTCTACGAAATGGTGTTAAAAGGCGTATTTGAATCAAACATCGACCAAGTGACTACAAACCCTGACATTTCAATGTTTAAAAAGTTTCGCGAGAGCCGGAAAAGTGTGGATCTTGAGAAAATACAGATTTATACTGAAAAGCTATCATGCCTGAATATTTCAGAGACTGACAAGCTGCTAGAATTTATCGACATGAATTGACCAAATAAGTTGGTAGAGACGACTATCGAGAATTAATAGAACTTTCAATAATATTTCTTGGCGGAGATACAGAGAAAAAATTTAAGATTCGACCGCCAGGTGTCGTGCGCCGAGCTCGATGGGTGGCCAGAGTTTATAACAGATTTGATATGCCTCCAACGTTCGTTGATATTTTTTAGTGTCAGGTATAGTGGTATAAAGGTCCAGAAAACCAAGAGACGTCGTAGTGTAGTGGAGAGGAATAATGATTGCTGAACCGCAGGACGGAGGTTCGAATCCACAAAGCTCCTTTTCTTCTATTATTTTCTTTTTAATTTGGAGAAATAAATGAACCGTCAATAAAAGTAGACTTTACAATTATTTCGCAAACCAGGGGTGTTTTCGTCTACTACAAGATGTCCAGGAATAAATTTCCATTTTTAAACTCGAATAACTTGGCAACAGTGTAACTTAGCGCGGTCGGCGTCGACAGTGGATCGATGCGGATTATTTAGTACAAATTAAGCGTTGGTCTGATGCGCATCGTCCGTTCATTATTGAGTGATATTCCAAGAACAGTGACTTGTACACAATTGCAAGACGAAAGTTTCGTGCTCACTTCAATATGAGGCGTGTGGAGGACGCACCAAGTAAAAATTTAGTGAAATTGTGGGTTAAGAGGTTAAAGAAACATCGTCAACTTTAAATGTGAAACACCCTGGTCGTCCAAGGACTGTAACTACTCCTGAGAATATTGAAGCTGTACGCGCCGCTATAATAAAAATTCCAAAAGGATCTGTTTGTAAAACATCACGGGTAGTGGGATTACGTAATAAATCATCTTTTCATACAATTTTAGGGAGAGATTAAAAGCTTCATCCCTATAAGGTCCAAATAGAGCAAGAATTAAACCCAAATGACTTTATAAACCGTCGTTCCTTCACCGGAACAATAATATAAACCGTTTTTTTTCAAACGACCAGGCGCAGTTAATAAGCAAAATTGTCCCTATTGGGCTCCAGAAAATCCAAGGCAAAAACACGAAAGGACCCTAAATAGTGATCGTGTGCAATGCTTCGGGAGTTTTTGGTACCTCAACTACAAGAATTTGATGGCTTTGATCAAGAAACCTGGTTTCAACAAGACGGCGCAACCGCACAGCCCGAGCATCTATGGAAGTCGTTCGAGAATTATTCCCGGAAAAGGTCATATCTCGCTTTCGAGACTTAAACTGGCCAGCTAGGTCTCCAGATCTCACCACATTGGACTTTTTTTTGTAGGGATACGTTAAAAGGAAAGTTTATGTTAATCGGCCTTTGCAAGAATTAAAACAAAAAATATGGGAAGAAATTAGAGCAATTACACCTGAATTATGTTTAGCAGTCTTTAACCACATGAAGGCGGCATTGCAGGAGTGTTTCGATCGAAATGGAAGGCATCTCAACAATATAATTTTTAAAACATGAAATCCGCCTAATTGTGTGTATTTTTGCTCCAATAAATTAATTTTAAAATTTCAATACAATTTTTTATTAGCCTTTAAAAAGCGAAATTTATTCCTGGACACCCAGTATGATTAGACTATTAGTCGAAGACGTTCGATCATTAAGAAGCTTCTGATCCCGGTAAAAACGGAAAAATTACGTGATAAAAGTCCAATGTATAATGTGCTCATGATTCGAAATAACTTGGCAATTGTTGGCGTTGCGTGCACGACGCGATGCTGCCGACTGTGCAATGGGTAACAAACTCCAACTGGTCTGCGGCGGTGTCGTCACTGATACACCGCTACAGGAAAGATATACGAGGAAGGCCTCAAAAATAAGGTGTACCCTTTCCACGCGTGATGCTTGGTGAAATCTGACAATACCGTCGTGTTTGCCTGTTCCGCCGCCACTGTTCCCAGCAAGAAGCGCCTATCTGTGATGCTTAGTTCCGCGCGACAGCCATGCGCAATGGAGTCGGCGTCACCGCCAGGTGCGAAATTCGTGCGGTCATCCGATTTTTAAATACATCATTCAAATAGATTTTGAATAAAAGAGGACCCAACACTGGGCCTTGAAGTACAACAAACGTGCCTTTATTGTAGCTATCATCTTTTAATATTCCCTAGTATTATATGTTCAAGGTAAGCGGATCAAAGAGCACTCCAAGTCATGAGGACGGCGAAAAAAATAGCATGGAAGATCCTTCCAGACTGGGAGGTATAGGAGTGTCAATAAGTAGTCCGAATTTGCTCAATTCCGCAGTAAGTCTGATAATGACCAGTAGCAGCAGCAGTAGCAGCGAGAGCGACGTTAGCGAACCAGAACATCTCATAGAAGACTTTGAATGCGGCAACAATATGGAATTTACTAGTACGTATAAAAATACAGAGGGTAATTTAATTGATGGTTAAAAATACATGATATGATTCCTTAGCTCATTTTAGGAAGAAAAGTCTGTATGAAAATATTTTCTAAACCTCTTATCTTTTGAGTTACAGGGTGTTAAAATTTGAAAACAAAAGTCGTTTCCTTATAACTTTAATACTGCTTTAGATATTGTAAAGTATGGTAGGCTATTGCTTTTTCCGAAAATAAAATTCAGTTTTGAAATCCCCGATTTATTTTGCAACAAATTGGCCTTTTTTACTTTGTTCCGTCCGATGCACCATTTTCGCGTAAAAAATAAAAATCATTTTGGCTATTTTAATCAATTGACTTTACTTGAATAAAAATTAAACTCTTACCTACAAACTCCCACATCATATTTTAGCGATTTATGCAATGCATGAAAATTAAAAAAACAAGTTTGCAACAAGTTTGAAAATTTATGCGGATCAAATAAACTAATACTATTCAATTTAATAATCAAAAGACTTGTTGAAAATGTCGTCCTTCTGCCAGAATACAGGCTTCAGTTCTCTTTCTCGTGGATTGGCGAACCCCTTCAAAAATTCGAGGAGTATTTCTTATGGTTTGGCAAGAAAGTAAAATTTTCTGCCTTAGTTCCTCTGCGGTTTGAAACGGTGTAGTATAAAGTAAAGGCTTGAGGTGCCCCACAAAAAATAGTCTAAACTATTTAAATCAGGGGACCTAGGAGGCCAAAACTGAGTTCACCCACGTCCTATCCAGCGATTAGTAAAGCTTCATTTAGAGGTTCCCTAGCATGAATGCTAAAATCGCATCTTCGAGCAAAATTGGCAAATCATTTTCAATCGTCCCGGAAGGAAGAACGGTCCTATGAGGAAATCACTTGTCTTAAAATTTTAACACCTCAAAACTCAAAAGTTAAGAGGTTTAGGAAATATGTTCGTATAAACTTTTCTTCCTAATATCAAGCAAGGAATCATATCCTGTATTTTTAGCCAACAATTAAATTACACCCTGTGTATTAAAAACAATCGAAAACAAAAGGTTAGTTAATGCGAATGATATTGCAAAATTCAATTTACTTGGGTAGGGAAGATTAATAGTGCGAGAAATAAAAATCAAGGTGAGGGAGGGTGTGGTTAAATGGCACGCTCCCTCTACCATAACTCGTCAACCGAGCAAGCTCTAACGCACAGGGGTGTTCTCTCCCTACTTCAATCTTGTCATCGCATCATCTGATTGTTCTACGAACTTCTATGATATAAATGGGTCGACGGTGGGCATTTGTTTGTTTGTTTATTGAAGATTTATTTAGCATTAAGCAAAGCTGCCATGATATCCTACATGTTTTTAAAACTATCCGTCAGGAGTTTGAACATCGCCTGTATCACTGTTTGGCCTATAATGGGCAACATTTTGAACACATTGAAATAAAAAGTGATATTTTCGTATGTTTTTGTTTTCTACCTGAACAAATTAAGCTAAATAAAGATTTTTCTAATTTAAAAAATCAAACATCAAAATAAAGGACTTCGAAAGACAGCTCAGAATATTGAACTTTTGGCACAGGAGTAATGATGGAACACTTTAACTTTGATGAGAATTCACCAATGATTCACCACTAAAATCTTTCTACTACTAATAATAATTTGTCTCAAATTATGTTGAAACAATCGTTTATAATCTTTTTTGAGAGATTCTCACTTGGATTTTTATTAGATTTCAATTCTGATATAGCTTTTCTCAGATTGTTGATGTTTATTATGCTTAATTGATTCATTGATGAATTATGATATACTTGTAATGAACATAAGTTTGGATCACCATCATCAATCGTCTTCACTATTTGATTTACCCTATCTATAAAATAAGTAATAATAATAATAATAATAATAATAATATCGTCTTTATTTACAAAGATACAGAGTGCGATTCATTATGGCGAAGTTTAGCTAAAGCTACTCTTACACTTAACCATATGAATACGAAAAAAAAAGAAGATGGTATAGGAGAGACAAAACAAAAATAAAGTTTGGCTATTAAAATGTCATAATAGTGTTGAAAGCAGTTCAATCAAACAAGCAACTAATTTACATGCCTACAAGCATATGTGCCCATAAACTAACTTATAAATGTATTATTAGCAAAAATTAGACAAAGAAGAAACATTATAATGTAGAGCTCTGTAAATATAGCCTAACATGCTTACGGAAATAAGACAGATTCATGGTTTTGTAATCATCAGGAATATTATTGTAGCGACTAGCAGCATTATAGGAAAATGAGCGTTGGAAAAGCGAGGTGACGTAATGGGGTATTCTAATATTTAATGTATATCTAAGAGTTTTGTTTTGTGTTTCATTAGAAAAAATAAGTTTTTCTCTTAGGTATTTGGGTTTACCATATGCGAGCAGCTTATGCAGGAAGACCAAATAATGAAAATTTGGCTAACAATCGAGCTTCATCCATCCAATACTGTTGTAAGCATGGCTAACATGGTCGTATTTTCTTAAACTACACGTGAATCTGAGGCAGTTGTTTTGAATCACTTGTAAACGTCTTTTAGTGAGCTGATCCAAGCAAGGCTGGTAAAGAATATTTCAATAATTGATAATTGGAAGAATACGGGATTCAGCAAGTTTTTTTCGCAAAGCAGAAGTCAGAACACGTCTATTTGCATATAAAACACGTAATTTCCAATAGGATTTTTGTAATATGCTAGAAACATGACTTTTGAATTTTAAGTTAATATCTAAAATGACACCAAGTATTTTAGACCCATAACTAAATTCTACTATATCTGATCCAATTGATGGAATGTTTGGAGAATGTGCTCACGTTTAGTATTAGAGCAGAATAATAGGATTTTTGATTTAGAGGAATTTATCATCAAATTGTGCTTTATAGAATAGCTATAAACTACATCAATATCCTCTTGTAACTCGACGGCTGCTTGTTGATCATGTGGATCAAAATGATAGAGCATCTGGGTATCGTCTGCGAATGACTGTATTATAGAGTTAGCTACTACAGAAGGCAAGTCTGCAATATATATTAGAAATAACAAGGGTCCCAAAACAGATCCTTGTGGAAAACCAGATATTTTGTTGGTAGAGTTAGAAAAAGTATTATTAATGACAATAACACATTGGGACCGATTAGCTAAGTATTCCGTGAAAAACGATATAGATATATTATCAAAACCTAAATACTCCAATTTAGCAAGAAGCAGCTGATGACTCAGTTTGTCGAATGCTTTAGATTTAGAGCATTGATTCCCAAAGTGGTCTATATCGACCCCTAGGTGTCTATGACAATCTGCAAGGGATCTACGTGAGCGAAAAAAAAATTGGGTGTCCATGAAATGAATATGGGGGTCCACGATAGTGGATCTCAACACATACACTGATAGTACCTATTTACTTACATCATACTATCTTATAATATCAAAACATTACATTATTTATAAAATTACCTATGAAGTAAAAAATTTATTATATATGTTTATAAAATTGTGTAAGTTGTAGGATGTTGGTATTCGCTTTGTGGTCGCAATACATTTTGAACTTGTAAAAACCTGAGAGTCGCAGTCTCAGAGCTTCGCTACCTTGCACTGACTTGTTCAATTCGC